TCCCTGTATGAAGTTTACAACACGTTTAACTGAATCACTTTTATGTGTATAGTTCCAGCCTAGATCTATTGCACCTTTTTTTAATCCCAAAAAGTGGTTCTAGAGAAACTTGTTTCGAAAATAAAAGCTCATTGCAGATAATTTAACAAAAGACGATGTTGTTCTGTCCCTCTTTTGAAAGGATTGTTTACCAAGAGATCTGTGCAAAATGGAACCGACTTTATCCATTAGTCATAATGTATCCTAACAATAACAATAGGAGCCTTTTATTGTGTGTGAGTTTCCTGGTCAAAAGCAACCCAAGTGATATTCATTATGATGGCTGATAATTTCTGCTTGGTCCTTCTGATTATTATAGGAAGTTCCGAAGCAGGCTGAATGCAGGTAGTATGATATTTTTGTGCCATTGTGAGAAGAAAGTCAACGTTAAGTTAAAGCAAGATACAAATAAATAAAGCTCAAGGAAGAGATTATTTGAAAAGGAAGGGAAGTTAAATGTAATTTGAGGAAAATGTCTGAAATGATGCACTCAGGAAGTGAAAATTGAACATTGAGCGTTGTTGCAAAGAGAGTACATAGGTGGAAAATTACCTTTAAAGAAGAAATTAGATTTGGTACTATTTCTATACACCATAGAAGTCATGCACTTCAATGTACTGAATAGAGATGCAGCTTTGCAGCGGTGTTTTCTGTACGGATCTCTAGATGAATCACTTTATATGCTTCCACCTGATGGCGTACAGGTAAAACAGGGATTTGTTTGTGCTCTGAAGAAATCCCTTTATGGTCTCAAACAAAGTGCACGGTGTTGGCACACAAAACTCACTGGAGTATTGTTTTCTCTAGGTTTTCAGCAAGGGAAAGCTGATCCATGTGTATTTGTCAAAGAGGAGGGGCAAAAGAAACTGTACTGTTTGTTTTATGTTGATGATTTATTATTCTTTGGAAAGATGTTGCAATGTACAATAGCGCCCTAGCTCAACTGAAAGAGCACTTTGACATGAAAGATCTTGGTGAGGTAAACAACTACCTATCTCTGGAAATAGAGAGAGATCAAGATGGTAACATTCTAGTACACCAGTCACGGAAAATTGCTGATGTGTTAAGCAAACTAAATCTGATGGATGCTAACCCTGTAGACACACCGATGACAACAGGTTATCAGGTAGATGACACTGAAGAAGCATTTTCTGACACTACACTGTACAGGAGTGTGCTAGGCAAGCTAAACTTCATTGCCAGATGTTCAAGACCAGACATTGCTGTTAGCTGTAATTTGCTAAGCAGACAAGTCAACAATCCTAGTGTCAAGGATTGGAAAGCTCTGAAACGCATAGCGCGGTATTTGAAAGGCACTATGCATTACAGACTGAGATTTAACAATCAGAAGTCTGGTGGTCTTGAGATATTTGCAGATGCAAGTTTTGGAAGTGACACTACAGACAGGAAAAGTACGTCTGGAGTTTGCTACATGTACAATCAGGGTCTTTTTGATTGGTCATGCAAGAAGCAAACAACAGTTAGCTTAAGTACTTGTGAAGCCGAACTGAATGCACTGTCTTATTCACTTAAGGATTGTGAATGGTTAGTACAATTGTGCAAAGATATGAAAATTCCTGTCAAATGTCCAATCCAGGTTTACCAGGACAACAAAGCATGTTTGGCTTTGCTGAAGTCTGAAGGTTGTAAGCAAAGCACAAAGCACTTACAATTAAAGTTGCAGCATGCTAGGGAATGTATTCAGAAAGGACTCGTAACGGTGTCCTATATGCCAGGTAATGAAATTCCTGCTGATGTATTGTCCAAGATTGTATCAAGGGATCAACACTGTACCTATGTGCAGAAGTTGGGTTTGTACTGATATTGTACGAACACGCTGCCCAGTGATGTTCACAGAAAGGGGGGGATGTTGGTTTCTGCTTTCCTTCACTGTGCAGCTCTGCTTGTCACGAGACAGGTGTTTTCATTCCACAGTCTGTACTGTTGGAGTTTCTCACGGGAAAGGGAGACTGGATGTGACGTACACTGGTTTCCTGTTTTTCACTGTGTGATTCTCTCCGAGCTGTCGAGGAGAGAGGATGCATTTTCTGCTCCTGCAGAGGCAAGATGTCTTTCTGTAATATACCAGCTTTGAACTGTAAATAAAGCAATGTAGAGTATGTAGCACGTACTGCTCATCCTTCCGCTGGACTCTGCTTTAAATCAACAGGTCTTCCATAGCGGGCGTGCAGAGGCCAGCTGCATGGGGGAAGAAGAGGGGTGAGAGTCCTTCAGAACAATGGAGGGATGAGTGGGGCTGCTGGGGAAGGAGGAGGTGGAAAACTTCTTCAATGAAGATTCTTATCTTTGAATCTGAAACTGATGAGAGGCAATTTCCCACTTCTCAGGTAGCCTCTCATATAGAGAAGCTTTGGCAGCTGTAGGCTTCTGCTGGGAGGGGGCACGAGGGGGGATTTCTTCCTGTGTCCTTCTTTAAGGTAAAGGTAAAGGTACCCCTGCCCGTACGGGCCAGTCTTGCCAGACTCTAGGGTTGTGCGCTCATCTCGCTCGAGAGGCCGGGAGCCAGCGCTGTCCGGAGACACTTCCGGGTCACGTGGCCAGCGTGACAAGCTGCATCTGGCGAGCCAGCGCAGCACCCGGAAACGCCGTTTACCTTCCCGCTAGTAAGCGGTCCCTATTTATCTACTTGCACCCGGGGGTGCTTTCGAACTGCTAGGTTGGCAGGCGCTGCGACCGAACGACGGGAGCGCACCCCGCCGCAGGGATTCGAACCGCCGACCTGACAATCGGCAAGTCCTAGGCACTGAGGCTTTAACCCACAGCGCCACCCACGTCCCTTTGTCCTTCTTTAGGTTACCTTATTTTTAGGATTATCTTCGGATAACATATCTATGGTACCTGTGCTATGCCAGCAGTATTGGGACGATCCATGTGAGTAACCATTTTAGTTCAAATCTCTTTCAAGGTTAAAAACGAAATTGCAGTGTTTGTTATGGCCTTTCATGTGAATAAATAAGCTTGATCACCATTTCATCCTCCTTAATGGCAATCATTTTCAAAGACACCTTCCTGGAAACAAACTCCATAGCAATTCCATTGAAATAGTGCAATGTAGCTGTACCTGTACAAAATGAAGGGACACTCTATTGAAGAATAGGTGTTTTTTTCCTCCCAATAAGCAGCCATTATGGCTTTTTGCTTCTTGATAGAAAATAATGTAAATGTAAGGCAAGAACAAATGATTTGGCAGCCTAGTTGAACACCATGAAAAACCAGGTGAGTGGTATTTTTTGGGGGGGGGCACACTATCGCTTACTTAGGCCTAATTTTTGTCTTTTGGAGCTCTGTGGTAAGTTACAGAATGGGATGGTCTGTCATGAAATGAATGTTAAGCGGAAAGCTGTCAGCTCAAATGCACTTTTGATTTCGTATTGTCTGTCTTTTTCTTGTGCTTGGCAGTTGTACAGCAGCTGCCTCTAATTTTCTCTCCCTGGCTGCAGATGAGGGTGTACTATTAATCGACTTCTAAACCAAGCACATCCTCTACTTTGGTATTTTCAGCAGCTACGAAGAATGGAGAGGAAATCGTGGTGAAACAGATTAGGTACCAACATTTTGTGATGATTCAAAATATATACGGGGTGGGAAAAGGTTAGCTTGGTGCCCTTTTTATCTATTGGTTCATAGTTTGTTTTTTGGTTTTTTTAATCTCCTCAATTATCTTTCAACGATTTACATCCTCTGTGAGCTTCCATTTTAGGGACAGAAATAAACCACTGCGTAGGTACACTTAACCCAGCCAGCCAGGGGGCTAGCTTGCTTACGCATGTACCTGTAGACCAGAGTATTTCTCCATACTTCAGCTCTGCATATTAGGAACTGTATTTATCCACCAAACTCATCCTTCTTCTTTCCGTCAGCAATGGACTATCCTAATGTATGCATATATAGCTCACCCTTCATCAAGTGGTGAAGTATTATGGTAAGCTATTAACTTTGCTTTTTATACCGTTCATGGTAGAGACGCGGGTGGCGCTGTGGTCTAAACCACTGAGCCTCTTGGGCTTACTGATTGGAATGTCGCTGGTTTGAATCTATGCAATGGGGTGAGCTCCCGTTGCTCTGTCCCAGCTTCTGCCAACCTAGCAGTTCGAAAGCATGCCAGTGCAAGTAGATAAATAGGTACTGCTGCGGCGGGGAGGTAAATAGCATTTCCATGCGCTCTGGCACTCGTCACAGTCCTCGTGTGCCAGTAGCGGTTCAGTCATGCTGGCCACATGACCCAGAAAAGTTGTTTGCGGACAAATACCATCTCCCTCAGCCTGAAAAGTGAGATGATGAATGCAGTACCCCATAGTCACCTTTGACTGGACTTCACTGTTGTAGTCTTGTGCTGCCAGCCACAGCAGAGCTCAGAGAAGGGAGAAGCCAGCCAACCAGCCAAGGCAGAGTCCATATACAATGTTCAGTCTAGTCCTAAGGTCAGGAGTATCTCAGTTCACATAGTCAGACGATCCGGGGGTCAGGAAAGCTGAGGGTCCAAGATCACAAGAAGCAAGAAGCAGCAAGGTCTGGCCAGGAACAACGAGTGTTGTTTCCACCAACTGACTGAGGCTGGAACTGCTGCTTAAGAAAGTTGGAGCCAGCTGGTTCTCATCAGGAGCAAGAAGGCTGAACAGCTCCTTCAGGCTGCTGCTCAGCAGGTGAAGTCGACTCTTGGCCCATGACATTCACCACCCAGGGGTCCTTTACCTTTTACCTTACTGTTCATGGTTTGTCTACAGATTTTGTTTTGTTTTGTTAGAGCAGTTAACTTCAAAAAGCCAATTAGCATAAAAAAAAATATGTATTGAGTATTCTAAGTCTGTTCTTTGGCTGAAATTCTAGAGTTGCAGATGGCATAATAAACATATCGCTGCTGCTGTTTTCAGCTGTCATATGCTTATTGTGATGTGTGTGTGTGTGTGTGTTTGTAATGTCTAGGTTGACTGTTAGTTGTGGCTAAACACAGAGGCTACACACAACAGAAATACCTCTTACTGTACACCAGGCACATGCCTGTGGAGGGCAGAGCCTGAAAGCAAGGAAAGCAAGGAGCCTGACTGTGAGGAGAGAGACTCCATCAGGCAAGGCCTCCTTCCACCTGCCTTGCCCCACCCTCCGGCCCTAGGAGTCTTCATAAGGGAGCTGTTCCTGGAGGAAGAACTGTGAGGGGAGAAACTCCATCAGGCAAGGCCTCCTTCCACCTGCCTTGCTCTACTCTCTGCTTCTCAATGTGTATTGTATTGTTTTATGTACTGTGGCTTGCCGTTGTTTTATTGATTATAGTTTAGATATTATTGTAACTGTTGAGTGGATTTCTGTTTAACTTTTATATGTTGATATTATTTTATACTATTCTAATGATTGTTGAATGTTACTTTTTTGATGGAGGTTGCCTATTTTAAAGTTATGTTTTATTATCACATTTTTGTATTGCATTGGATTGTTAAAAGATGTAATTTTTTGTTTCTTCAGCTGTAAACTGCCTTGAGTATTGTAAGATAGAAAGGCGGTATACAAATTAAAAATGATGATGATGATAACAAGCCAGAGAAAAGAATGTGGGTTAAATATGGATACAACTTTATTGGAAACAATACATCCCCAGTTTATTGCAGCATAAGATAAGGATCTGTCTGTTGGGCAGCTTGCCTGCTGGCGCACGTCGCTGCCCAGCTTGCTTGCTGGGATAACCAAGGGAGTCAGCAAGCCGGTAGGCTCCATGATGGTGCAGGCCAGGGCTGCCAGGCATGTGGGCCCACATGCAACATGGGTGCATAGTTGCCAACTTGTGTCCCTCCCCTCAACTGGGGCAGAAGCTTTCCCCCATTGCTTATGGGGATCCCCTCATAAGCAATGGATCCTACCCAGGTTCACTAGTGGAAAAGTTGTGACAGGGTGAGAAAGCCAATAAACAGCCTTGCCACAGGGAAGGCAAAAAAAAATTCTCAGCCTACGAGCCAGTCAAGGCTGTGGGTAAAATTCTCAGGCCTGTCAACCATTGACCAAGTGCTGTCCACAGCAAAGATGGCTGCAATCAAGGGAGGATGGATAGGGAACCTGTGAACTGAGCACACTGCCATACTCTTGCCCCATGCCAGTCTTCAGAGACTGGCCACAAGGACAGGCAGAGCATGATCACAGGCTTTGCCCCAGGAACCCACTGAGGCCACCTATAGGCTCTCAGGGGGCCCAGTTCTGTCTCTTCCTCCCCCCATGCACACACATGTACACAAACATAAACACCACATATCTAATCTACACACACACACACACACACACACACACACACGGATTTGAGGCACTTGGGGACCATTTAGGATATTGACAATGAAATGATTCTTGTCACTGTTTGTCTCTCAGTTTCAGTACAGGAAACAAAGACAGGGAATGAAACAGAAGGGGTGCAAGATTGAAGGCGTATGACTGTTCTTCCTACAAGGAGTGCAGGTCCTTCAGATGAGTGGGAAGAGGCAGAGCCATGACTGAGAGAAAAAGGTGCCATCTTCAATACAATGCAGAGGAGAAGACTGCGGATATTTTCAGAGCAGAGGCAATAACAAAGGAGGCATCCAGAGATAAGTGAAGTGATTGTGTTATTTATAAAAGAAAACTATACAGAGTGTCATGATGGGGGAGAGAGGCAAAATCTCATTAAATGCTTTATCAAATGCAAATAGAGCATCTGAATATATAAACAATATCATAAGATAGATTGTTCAATTGTTATATAAACACATCTGAATAAATATTAAAGGAAATAAACAGCGGGGTAGTTTAGCAAATCTTGTAACTGGCTGCACTGCCATAGTACGATCTAATGCTAATTCAAAAAGCAGCATTCATCATCTAGTACAAGAAGAGGTGAATGTAAAATGACATTTTATACATATATCTATTTCTGTTGCGAGTATGAAGTGCACTACCATTATGACTCTCCAGGCTATCATAACATGATACACTTCTATCTAATGTTTACGTGCTTAAATGTGACATTTCCCAATGATTTGTTTCATAACGTCTGTGTGGAAAAAAGAAACAGGATTTACTCATATAGATGATCCTTTCTGCACTTCAAAAATGGTTCTGAAACGTTTTCTTCACTTCTGCTCCGTGATTTCTGTTTCTTTGCTGCATCTGGTTGGTAGCTTGACTCCAGTAATGAGTTAATTGATGAGAAGACCAATGCAATTGGGGGAATGGCTTTTTTCCCCTGCTGCTTCTAGTGCTGCTTAGGAATACCCTGTGGTTTCTTTCATACCGAGCTTCAAATGCGATGTTATTATACCTGACCTCATAAATGGATTGGAGAGTCCAAATCTTTACACTCTCCCACTGTTCAAAAACAAATCTCTCGGAAGTAAGAGCCATTAAAATTCCATTAGAAACAGCAGGCAATAGGTCTAGAAATCTGTAAAATGGCTCTGTGAGGGATGAGTGAAAAGGGCACCATTATACTTTATTTATTTGTTTTCTTTTTGGACTGATTAACAAATCAAGTACCTCCTAAATAATTTGGAGGGATTCCATGTTTAGAAAACATCCTGTTCTGTTTATCTCTTTTGGAATAAACTTTCCATTGAAAGGGTATAGACAGAGATTTCATAGAATCACAGAATAATAGAGTTGGAAGAGAGGGTCATCTAGTCCAATCCCCTGCAATGCAGAAATGTCAACTAAAGCATCCATGACAGGTGACCATCCAATCTCTGGATTCATAGAATCACAGAATAATAGAGTTGGAAGAGAGGGTCATCTAGTCCAATCCCCTGCAATGCAGAAATGTCAACTAAAGCATCCATGACAGGTGACCATCAATCTCTGCTTAAAAATCTGCCAGAAGGAGAGTCCACAAGCTTCTGAGGGAATCTGTTCCACTGTGAAACAGCTCTTACTATCAGGAAGTTCTTCCTGAGGTTTATAATCTCTTTTCTTGTAACTGGAAGCCATGGGTTTGGATCCTACCCTCCAGAACAGGGGAAAACAAGCTTGCTCCATCTTCCCTTTGACAGCCCTTAATATTTTTGAAGATGACCATCATATCTCCTTTCCATCTCCTATCCAGGCTAAATATACTCAACTCCCTCAACTATTCCTCATAAGACGGTTTCCAGATTGTTGATCATCTTGGTAGCCCTCCTCTGCACACATTCCAGATTGTCAATATCCTTCTTAAAATGTGTCTCTCAGAACAGGAGACATACTCAAGGTGAAGTCTGATCAAGGCAGAATAGAGTGGTATCTTACATTTGTGCAACTGCTTTCCCCTGCTTAAGTGTAGAACCTTACATTTGTCCCCTTACATCTACAAGCTCCTTTAGCATCATTGGGTGCATAAATCAGGCCCTGGAGATCTGAATTAATTTAAAGTCGCTAGATGTTCCCTTACTACCTGTTTTCCTATCTTGAGCTACATCTTCCCCTTGCATCATCCTCTGTTATCAGCAGGTTAGGTACTGCTTTCCATTTGGGTGAAGACAGAGGCAAAACAAGTTTTGAGCAGTTCCACCTTTGTTTTGTCATCCAATAGTATTATCTGTCTTCTCCACTCAGAGAACCTACTAGTTGCTTGTTCTTCCTCTTGTTTAGGCACTGAGTCTTCAGCACTGAGGGTGGACCGCAGATAAGCCTTTTGATTTTATCCAGGGCCAATGTCAGCACCTGGCATACCCAGGCAGCTGCTGGGGCCCAAGTGGCCTGCCAGGCACCAGGGCTGACATACACATCCTGCTGGCAGATGGGCTTACCTGGAAGTGCCAGCCCTCTTGGGATAAGTGTGGTTAGGATGCCTGGATGGTTTCTTTTACAGATTTTGTACTGTACTATTATCTTGCCAGCCTCCCTGATTAGAAAATCAGGAGGGAAATCCTTCAACATAAATGATACCTATAATGAGCACTATTTGTCATCATCTCAAGAACATTTTAAAATTACTAGTATAGAGTCTAATCTTTCTAACACTGACAATATGATTGGCTAGCTTCAGTTTTACATTTTACCTCCACTCTCGTGGTATATATATGTTCATGCAATTAATATATCAATTAATGTTGCCATTGAACCTGGAATGTAAGAGTTCTCAAATGAGCATTCAAATGGAAATGAGTGCACTGTTGGAAACTGCTTCTGTTGGTCTGAATTCAATTGTCTTGGTTACTTTGTAAGCAGAGATTGCTTTTTTGGTACTTCAGATATGATATTGCTTTTCAAGTGCTAAATTAGCTATGCAAAGATTCATCCAGAAATAGATTTGCAAGCATATTAACCGGCTTAGCTTAAATCAGAGAATTACCCTCATTCTGCATAAACTAAGAATTTCTTCCCATCAGCTCCCGTGCTGTCAAGGATGGGGAATTGCTTTGACAGTACAGTTATGAATTATCATATTGGGATCTAGTCAGGAATCAGCTTGTGATGAGACTAGGCTTTACGTTATAATACACAGTTGGCTACTACCAAAAAGAGCAGCTGATTTCGCCACGTAGAACCTGATATCATGATACTGTGTATTTGCTATGCCCCCTGACAGAGGCAGTGAATGACAGAAGTAAATAATGCACATGACATCAGGACACTGTAGTCCGGATGTTGATGGACTACAGCACCCATCAGCCCCAGTCAGTATTGTCAATGGTCAGGGACAACAAAACTTGGAGGGCACCATGTTGGCAACCCTGAACTTGACAGTATAGAGTGGGTGAAGGGAACGAAATATGCAGCACTATACTCAGTGACAGCCATGCATTTACTACAATGTCTAGTTCCACAGTGTCTAGCATGGAGTGATGGTGGTGCTGCTGCTGTTGCTATGGTTACAGCATCAGTCATCAGAAACAGATGTGGCATAATGGCTTGGGAACTGGGTGGTTTTTACAGATATTTTAAATAAAGCATTTTTAACTTGTTTGGGGGCTGCTATGGCGGAGCTGCACTATTGGTTTTGAAGTGCGTGTAGGATTTATTTATTCATTTGTTCACATCCATGTGTCTCAAGAGACAACGGAAGATTGCAGCATTGGGGGTAAAGTCAAACAGCTGGAGAGTTACAGCACCTGCTATGGATGTAGAGACCTATACAGGATCTACAAACTGATCTTTATTTTTATTTAAATCAACCAAATCTACCACTAATCTAATGTCTAATCCTAATCCTAATCTAATGTTATCTGCAGCCTGTCTTGTTTTTATAAAGCCGGTCTGATACCTCTCAATTACCGCCGCAATTACCTGTTGGATTCTATTTGCTAGTAATTTTTTTGTATCAACATCAAAGATACATTCACACATTTTGTGTGATCCTTATTTGATTTAGGAATAACTGTGATATAAACTTGGTTAAATATTGTTGATAAAATGCATTTATCAGGTATCTCATCATACAACTGATGAAGTTTTGGTACCAATAAATCTGTATATGTTCGTATGCTTCCCCATTCAAATATACGTGCAGATGTTATCTCAGCATCCAGTTCAAAGTATTGTACAGCCTCTGCCCACATTTGTTGTGTAAATTCCTTATCATTAAGTAGGGAGACATTGAAGTACCAATTTTTCCCTACTTTAGTTGATTTATGAAATTCACGTCTCAAGATAACTGCGTTACGATCAGATACATAACTGATGTCAATGCTACAATCTTGAATTTGATGGTACAGTGAGGATGAGGTTAAAAAATAATCCAATCTAAAGAAATTATGGTTTAGGGCTGACAGAAATGTGTAATCTCTTTGGTTGGCCATGGTTCTATCAGATTAAATTATTGCATATATTGTCTAAGTGTTTGCCTGACTAAAGATGTTTTCTTCCTTATCGGTGTATTTCTATCTAACTCAGGATCCAATATTTCATTAAAATGTGAGGGGGATCTAGCTGTGACATGTCACCCCATTGATCGCCAGGGTTGACTTGGCTGATCTGGTTGGCTAGGCAGGTGTCCCCTCCCTCTCTCATCGCTCCCAAAGCTGCGCACTTGGTGGAAGAGGATGTCCATCCCAGATAGAACGAGTGTACAATTATTCAGTCAAGACTATATGATAGCTGCGCTCCCCTGCTAAAACATCCAAACAAGTCCCTGCAGGCTTGGGCAAAATGGTTGATGATACTCTGTAGAGCTTCCTCAGATTGTGCTGTCAAGTAATAATAATAATAATAATAATAATAATAATAACAATTTATTATTTATACCCCACCCATCTGGCTGAGTTTCCCCAGCCACTCTGGGTGGCTCCCAATCGAGTGTTAAAAACAATACAGCATTAAATATTAAAAACTTCCCTAAACAGGGCTGCCTTCAGATGTCTTTTGAAGATAGGATAGCTGCTTATTTCCTTCATATCTGAAGGGAGGGTGTTCCACAGGGCGGGTGCCACTACCGAGAAGGCCCTCTGTCTGGTTCCCTGTAACCTCACTTCTTGTAATGAGGGAACCGCCAGAAGGCCCTCGGCACTGGATCTCAGTGTCCAGGCTGAATGATGTCAAGTAAGTGTCATCTGCAAACAACATTTCTCAGATAACAACCTGCCACACTTTTGTCTTGGCATGGAGACATGGAGCAGATCCCCTTCACTCCTTGAATGGAAGTGCACACTATTTTCAGTTGCGCCAAATCTCCACTTATGTACTCCTTGGCTCTGACTACCACCCTCACCCACCCCTTGCCGAAGAGCCAAAAACCGTAAAGTGCCCTAGCCAGTACCTCCACAGTTGGCACCCTGATGCAGCTGCTTCCCTTCCCCCCGTGTCAGAGGCTAGGTCACTGCTTAAATTAGGGTCATGGCATTACTAAGCATAGAGATTGGCACTAAGCATAGAGATAGGGCAGGGGCAGCCAACATGGTGCCCTCCAGACACTGTTAGACTACAGCTCCCATCAGCCCCAGCTAGCATGGTGAATGGCGAGGAAGGATGGAAGTTGTAGTTCAAAGCATCTTTAGGGCTCCATGTTGGCTGCCGCTGACAGAGGGCATTCCAGAAGCATTTTAGCCACTGTAGAAACAGAGACATGCCTACACATCTACATTTTGACAGAACTTTTCTAATGAAATTGCCTCTCATAGCCAGCATAGCAGGATAGTTTTGCTCCAGTTTCAAAGCAAAGGATGCCATTGTATCAACCTCAGTGCAAGCCACACTGTCTGCCTACCTAACTGGATTCTGCCCCCCTTCTCACATTATGAATTTCAATAAAACTAGATAGTTCTGAATGCTGCCTGTCAGCTCAGGCTCACTTTGGATAATTACCACACAGTCAGAACTAAAATACTCCTACACAGCACACCGGTGCACATCAGATGCTCTGGAACTATGAATTGCTTTGATTGCTAATAAAACACCCTTTCTTTCATTCAAAATGCCGCAGACCTGAAGTGAACCTGAAAGAAGGCCTGCCTTCCACGCTAATAAGAACTCCCAGCTCCTTAAAGCCTAGATAATTCTGTATTACAATTTTAAAGACTTATGCTGCTAAGGAAACTTTCGTGGTGTGACATGAGACACACTAACCTTAAAAAAAACACACTATTATTCTGAAGCTAGACAATGTTTTTGAAATGGAATATTAACATAGCTCTTAAGTTTTATGACATCTTTAAGTTAATTTCATAATGCTTTTACACCTGTGGGTGCAATGTTATTATCTCAGCTTATTACAAATGGGAAACACAGGGACACACAAGGCTGAAGTAACTTGATCAAGGTATAAAGTGAAATCTATATGCTGTTACATATTCCAGAAACACTACAGAAAGGGCTACGTTTCATAACAGAGACTTCATGAGGGTGTAACATTCCCAATCTCCTCACCATAATCAAGAGCATAATCAAGAGCAGACCACAGGCTTGTAATCTCCTTTCCTTTCCTTCCTCCCCATCTCCTGCCGAGAGATCCCCTTCCCTTCCCCTTTGGAATTAACCATGGTGCTGCATTACATATCAGCCAACAGTAACACTAAGGGTGTAGTCCTAGTCATACTTACCTGGGAGCAAGCCCCATTGAATGAAATATGACTTACTTCTGAGTAGCCATGGTCAGGATTGTTCTGTAACAGTGGTTAGCTTTAAACCAGTTACCAACCAGGGTTTGAAGTTGGCCAAGTTAGCATTAACAACGGTACATATGTATCGCTATGCCTTGACTTGATCTGAAAGGGGGATGGAGAAATTCAAACACAAGAAGGGAGGGGAGAGAGAGAGAGAGAGAGAGAGAGAGAGAGAGCATGCAGTGTGTGCCCCTGCCCTGTTTCCCCTTCTCATGTCAGCCACAGCTATTTGGCAGACTGAAAGGAGTTTGGTTGCAATTGGGGGGGGCATGGAGGAGCCATCCCTATGCATGTTACTCCCCATGTAAATCACATTCCTCTCAGTCAGTTGCTTTGAGGGTTTGGGCCAAGGATGATCTCTCCCTGCTAGGTAGGAGAGGGGTTTGCCTTTCAATGCTCTGTTAGCATTAACACTGGTGCAAATGTAACGCTATACAATAAGATCTGAAAAAGGGAGTGGACATTAGGAGATTTGTAGGACAGTGCCATCAAAATGCTGATGACACCCAGGCCACTTATGCATTCAGCTCCCAGGAGAACTTTGCTGTTCTGTATATTGTCACAATTCTTTTTTAGTATTTTACACTTGTCAGCTGCCTTGAGCACCTTGGCAGAAAGGCAAGAGATGAGACCAATCAATTAGTCCAACAAATGGTTCTGGGGAAAGGGTGAACACCCACCCACCATGGCTTCTCCAGTCCCAATCTGATTCAGAGTTGCTATAGATAATTGAAAAGAGTTATTATGAGTGATCATAATCCTTGATTTCCCGCATCACATTTAGGTGTACTGTACCCTGAACAGCTGAGGGTATTCTTCCCAAACACAATTTAATGTGACTGCTTACAGAATGAACAAAATGAAATTTCTTGTTGCTGCATTAATACAATAAAACTAAACTAATAGGTGGGTGAAAATTGCCCTTTTTATGAGCATTGATATGAGCAACAGATATTTAACATCCTTACGTGGACTTGAGAGGTGAAGAGCCTCTGTCTTAAATGAGCAGAGGACTGAAGATGACAAAGTTGATGTTAATCTGCTCAAGATTAAATGCGACAAGATGTTCCTTGGCACCTAAGAAGCCATAACTATGTCCTTTCTCAAATAAATGTGTTTAGCTAGCAAGATAATTGCATTGACTCTGGAAACAAAACATTATGAAAACAAGATGTTAGCTATTTGATCATTGCAGCAGTCCTATAAATCCTATACACTGAAGCAAATTGTGAAATAGTAACAGTTTGATGAGACAAAATCTTTATTTTCTTTTGCGCAGGAAGGGTGTCACACAATCCATTTTTCTGGTATTTATGTTGGCAGAGCAGAATCCAAAATGCAACTGTAACTGTGCCCAAGGATTTGGGCATGCCCAGTGGGATTTTGGGCTTTGGTCAACAAACACGCCGCACCCAGATATTACTCTTGAGGCGAGGTATCACCACCCACGATTCTGTGGAAAACTGCCCCTCTTGATTCACAGTTTACAGTTGGCCAATAAACATTTTTATTACATGCACATTTTAAGTTGATTTCTAGTTCAAATAATCTTAAGATTTTTTTTATTGACTTCACACTTGCTTTCAGTTTTCTCCAATTAACCCACACTATTGTGATCAATTATGCTAGCTGTCGAAAAACAGACACCCTTCTTTCATAAGAAATTGCGAAGGCTTGTTCTCACACTGAAGAAACTATAAAAGACAGGCCTGATTCAGAAGGGTGCTGATAGTAGCTGAAAGAACTCAGAAAAGTCATGCAACTTGAATTCCTGTAACTTGGCACTTAACAGGATCCATGTTTTACACTTAAGACCTGTAAAAAAAAAAGGGCGGGGGGAGGTTACAATCCAGATCCAGTCTGACATTAATTTGGTCCTGACAAACTACAAGTTGTGGCTAAGCTTTGTGGCTTGTGGTTCATCTGGGGGAGAAAAACCATGAGGCCAGGGGTTAACAAAATGCCACATCAAACCATGACTTGGCTCTGGATAGCACAGCAGCAGCAGCAGCTTTGAAGTAAATTCCAGTTTTAAATGGGGATTACCCCCATGTGAAATTGCAGAGACTTGCAATCTTAGCCTGCAATTCTAACCATGTCTACTCAGATATACTGTAAGTCCTATTGAATTCTATGGGGGTGCCTGGGATGTTAGAGAGGGGTAGTTTGTTCACCTTTGGTCCCCACCCTGCACTTAGTTCTCACCTATGGCTCTTGGAAGCTTTCAGCATGCAGCAGCCACACACTGGGAAATGGTTTCAACTGGATGGCTAAAACAGACAAGGGTAACCAGTGGGTGTCAAACCTTGGCAAGTTAGGGACTTCACCTGCATGCAGTCAGACACCAGTGGATTGAGCAAGCAAGGCTAATGGTGGGTACAGGGGTCAAGAAGGAGGTTTCTGCATGTGCTGTAGAGGGAAATGAGGGGGCAGATGGTGAGGCCAAGAGAGAGGGGTCTTGTCATCTGGGCAGCCCAGGACCTCCATATGCACTGGCCAGCAATGTGCCCTAGAAAGGTCACTTTGGTGCTGCTAACACAGTAAAAACCATGAGGGAGGCAACAGTTAAGAGCCTCTGCAGCCACAGCAGGCACTGTGATTCTCCAGCAGTTTGACTTCAATCCCGGAGGTATACTCTATTGTTTCTCAAGACAGATGGATGCCAACTCAACAACCCCAGGCAAAATGACTTCAGCCTTAGTGAAAGTCTCTATCTATCTATCTATCTATCTATCAGATCAAGAATTCACACACAGAGCAGACCCAGATGTGTTTAGGAAGAGAATGGGACTACAATATTGATCTGGTGAAACTGTTCAAGCAGCATAGGATGGAGGAAAATAGTTTTTTGTAGCTATTAATTGTAGCACAATTAATAGAAATGTTAAAAGGGGGACACAGCCTGCAATAATATCAAGGTCTGTTGTATAAAGTGTACTTGCACAGCAAAACCCACAAATGTGCAGTTGCCTCAAATGACAATGTACACATGCATCTTCTTAAATGACAGTGTTTGCTGGAAACACGCAAGGTCTGAGGCAAGCCAAAGCCTCACTTTTAAACTCAAAATCCAGAAAAAGAAAACTGTGGAGGCAGTCCAGGTTCTATATACTGTTCGTTGTGCAAAGTTTCTTGATTTCAATACACGTACGAACATATCCTGCTAGTCAGGTGTTTGCCTGGGCAGATGCACATACCTATTGCTGTTGAATTTTTTGTAGCTCCTCTCTCTACTCAGCATGCAAGAGGTGAGTAGAGAGACTACAGAGAGCTAAGGAAATGCCTCCTTCTGACATACTTTTCACACTTGTCTATTACTCATTGTGCAGCAGGAAGCCACTCAAAAAGTTTTACAGTAAACGCAGCTAATTGTTAGCAGGGAAAGGATTCTATTTCCTGCATCAATTTGGCGTATTGGGAATCAAACCAGTCAGAACAATGACATTTTATTCATGATCAGTGCAATTACTGTGACTAAATGAAGTACAGAGTAAGGCTAGAAGAATGGGGAACAGCATTCCATTGGAGGGGCTGCTTCCAGCCTTGCAACTAAAGAAATGTATGAAAGCTGATGTGCAAGGCCAAGGCGGTTTGCTATTTCAGTCATAATGTGAGTACATAGTCATTAATCCAAGCTCTTTGGAAATTTGCTCAGTGTAGCACCTCAGTGGACTTGCACCTGCAAGAAAATGCAGATTAGAAGCAGCTCACAATCATTTATTTTTTTATTAACATAAAAATAGGAAGTGCATGACCCAGGTTAGAAATCACACCTGGGTCCCACCCTTATTTTCAGCCAGGCATAACCTGTTCCCCACCTTCCCTCCAAACGAGATGGATACACTAACAGTGCAATCCTATATGTATCTGCTCAGAAGTAAGGCCCACTGAGTTCAGCAGGGTTTACTTCCAGGGACATGGGTACAAGACTGCAGCCCAACAGCGCAATTTTATGCATATCTACTCAGAAGTAAGTCCTGTTTAATTCTGTGGGGTTTATTCGAAGGTGTGTGTGGCATTTTGTGAGGCACTATTCAGCTATTGATCCAGCCATTCACAGAAAGAGCTACCCATTCAGAATATGTGTATCATTCACAACAACAAAATGTATTTTAAGAAAAGATTGTTATTATTTTACTTCAAGCAGCCCCCAAAAGAAGATTCTGATTATTGCCTTGTTTAATAAACTTACTAGAGAAGCTACCTTACCAAGGCAATTGTTGCCATACTGCTAACTCAACTTTGCAATGATTTATGACAGAAAGATGAAATTTTAGACAACTGGGTGATGGTTGCATACAGCAGACTTGCCATGTGGAAGGACCTAAGCGGGGGGGGGGGGACGTATGGTGGCTGCACCAACATTCCAGATTTTCAAGCCAATAATATGTACTGGCGTTGAATCAATTGCTTTTTATCTTTAACCAAAGCAAAATATTCTGAGTGAGCTAAGTTTCTATTGCTACCACCTCATGGAGGTCAATGGAACAGCTTTCCAATTTCTACCTGACCCAATGGGAGTTGGCTCACCATTCACATTTAGCTGTACAGCATAATCCTATGCATGTCTATTTTGGGGTTGTGACATTCGCTCCCAAGTAAGCGTGCACAGTATTGCAGATTTATGGTGGTTCCAGGTAAAGGCTTAATATTGCAAACAGACCTTTAAGATACCACAAATGGGTCATTTAATCAAATTTCTCCCAGAAATCTACATTAAACGGGGGGGGGGGGGTGTTTCATACTAACACAGTTATATGGATGCTGCATAAAACCTGCATGCATGAGAAGTATTGATCCCACAATAAACACTCATCTGAAACCCTTAGGCTGCGACCATATACCTACTTACCTGAGTAAGACCAACTGAACTCACTGGGGCATACTTCTGAATAAACATGCATAGGACTGTGCTGTTAGTCTATCTCCTCTTCATTGAAATCATGGGAAAAGAGCGACTTCCACCACCAGGTTATTTACCTTCCTTTCAGGGCAGGCAGTAGCATCCTGTTGAGATTTTTAGCTTGGCAATACTGGCCACAGCAACAGTGCAAGGCAGAAGACTGAAGAAGTTGCCCCTTTTACTGACCCACCTTAATTGTATATTTTTTAATGTAAGGGTGCACATCTTGGGTAACAAATTAGATTATATTTTATGCCAGAGAATTGTAGTTCAAAAAACTGAAGTACAAATTTAAAATCTATTGCATACAGAGCACCCTTAAGCATATTAGAAGTAAGTTCCACTGAGTTCAGTGGGATTTACTCCCTAGTAAAGTGTTAGGGATTACAACTTTAAAGACAATAGAATGAAGTCTACACTCCTGGAGACACATAAAAAAATATGTGTGCATAGAGGTTTTAGCGATTAAGCAGTCTACAAATTTTGTTAAATAAATAATATATATATAAGAAATGTGTGTATGTAGCAGACATACAGCAGACACATACAGCCCATATTGGCCAACCAAATTAGCACGATATCTCAGATGAAATTAGAAATCTTGTATACAAAAATTAATAATAATCACCATTTATTACTATGCTCTACAACATCTATTCAATATGCTTGTGGGGGGTGAATAGTCCCATTAACTTCAGGTTCTGTTGCACCATACACCTAAAACCACATGACAAGACTGCAGACTAAAGTAATGTGGTCCTTTTGCAGTCTGTATTGCAGAACATTCTGCCACACCATTCCTTTGTGTGTTATTAGTATTTTTCCTCCAGTAGAGGAAATATTATACTATATAGGATGCTTGACATAATTGTGTCATCATAAAAAACGGACTAGTACTATTGACTTTACTGTGTCTGAATTGGTTCAGCATTGCTTGGGCATGCTACTATAAATCACTGGAGGATCAACCACAAGAAAAGCCTTTAAGTGAGAATGGCTGGGTGCATAATTTGAACATGTTTCTGCCAATGTGTTCTAATTGACAAGATGCATCTTTTCTTCTTCAGCCATGTGAATTGCAAAGAGCAATTTAGCCAGGTATTTCCCAGCTTGTGTCCAGCAACTGATTATACTCTGGGAGCAGAGAATCACACATCAAAACTTCACAGCAATCTTCTTGGTCAGTTTTTGTAGGCAGCCATCTTGCTTTATAAGCCCCTCTGTGGAAAAAGGGGTAAGGAACAAATCTTCCTCCTTTTGGGAGTTGCAGTTCTATGATAAAGTACTATGACAGAATCTTTTGCTCCCATCACATGCAGATGAAACCATATTCAATAGTCATATTTGTTTTGTTCATGCTGGGGAATTGGAAATCCCAAAGGATGTAAAACACAGAATGGTAAGCAGGAGAAGCAGTTTGTTCAGCCATCTATTACTTTCAAATTTTTCAACTTCTTCTAATGATTTCCCCCATTTTTACATCCAGTATGGTGGTTGGGTTCAAAGCTTCCATTTCTTTGTGGTGCTTCATATGACTGCACACCAGCTTGTCTTTAATCTCTACCCTTTGTAGTTTTCAGTCTTTAACGCCTTCTTTGAATTAGGAAGTAACTAAAGAGTAGATCATGCTGTATATAAAGAGAAAAGGTACAGCATGAAAAGATCCCTTTGAATATTGCAGCACCTTGTTTAGCTTCCTAACCCTTTCCCCTTATGCTGACTCTGGAGTCCCATTTCCTTCCTTGCTCTGTATGTGAAACCTGCTCCTTTTTGGCAACTCCATATTATATCCAAATTATGATGGATTTACAAGGAGAATGGGAAAACATGCAGGATATTTTTATTTTTACTGTTTCCCCAGTGATTTCCAAGACATGCCTGAAATTCTGCTTTGTCTGATACTAAGAAGAAACCTTTTGCAATAGTGTGTTTGATCTTTGAAATTTCTGCCGGCAATTCCCTGAAGTACAGGAAGGATTTCTATTTAAATGTTGCTGCTTTCCCCCTCCCCCGCCCTTTTCCTTGCGATGCAAGAAAAATGAAGATTAATGAGAGGGGTTTTTTTCTTTGGAAAAGAGCCATAAATAATGTAATTTTGGTCATAGCTAAACAGTGGAGTCCTTTTAAATACACACAAACTCACACCTAATTAAAGACTATTGCTTTGTAGAACACTTCTAAGGAAACACACTGATATGCTCCAGCAGCAGCCAAATTAGACATGAGCAGACCTCTGTGTGCAGTTTTTGGTTTTTATACTTTATAAAACCCTATTTTATATTAAAACATGACAGTTGGAGCTCAGGACAACATACATCGTGTTCTGAGGTGGCGTCCCAACTGACCAAACCCAGACCCAAGTTGCTTCACAAGATTGCTAAATCACGTACCTTCAGACATGTCCAAAGAGGAACGTTTCAGTAGGAGATGGGTCTGGTCTTAGCATCAAAAGGGACACCAGCCTGGTTGAGGTGGAAAATAACTTATTGTGTGGCAGGGGAGGGAAGGAACCTGTGCTCTGCAACCATTCACTCCTCCTGCTGTTTAAAAACTGATTGTGCTCTCTATTTTCTATATGCTTGGAGGAGATACATGTTTAGAACACATGGATCTGTTGCCATCACCTCTGGTTCAGCCTCACTGACAGGTAACATGGTTCTTCTCTCAATCTATTAGCAATCTGGGCAGTGTTCTGCCATTCCACTTCCTGTTCCTTGAATTCGGTCCTCCTTGCATTGCCAACCACCCTCCTATGTCCCCATTTCAGAGCAGTCAGCAGTTTACTTTATTCACTGTACTCTTTCCAAATTGATTTTACTTATAAGCAGTCTGCGGAGGTTAATGGCAGATTATATAATCTATAAAAGGTATTGTTGCCAGAAAAGTGTTTTGCTGCTTTTATACATGGTAGCTTTCTCCAGGTAATGAAGCATGAGCACACATCCTGATGTATTAACAGCTCACAAAAGAAGTGTGTTAAGTCTGGTGGCACACAACTAAGGTAGGGCTGCGGCAGTGCAATGGATTAAGGGGCAAAAGCAGCTTCTTAGGCTGTGTACACGTTGCCATCTTAAACTGTAACTAGGTTATTATTTTTCTCAATTTGGATCAGAGCTAGTTGGGTGAGGGAAAATGCATCAAAATGCAGTATTTCATAAGAAGCAAGCAGGGCAGATACAGGATAGATATAGATTGTGGCTAAGGCCATGTGTACAACATTTCCTAGAATGAGTTTGATCAAACAGCGGGAGGCAGTGGAAGACAGGAGTGCCTAGCGTGCTCTGGTCCAAGAAGAGTCGGACACGACTAAACAACAAAACATTTCTCTAACCAGTGGTGGATGCAGATTAAATGGGAGTGTGTATGCAGCCTCAGAAACACTGCTCTACCTCCTTTATGGCACTTTGAAGCTTCATTGGCCAGATCCTAAATGTGCCCAAGAAAATGAACTAATACCTTCATTAATAATTGGCTAGGAAGTTGTACATTTGGGCAAATCAAGGTCACTGCTGCCTCAGGGAAGGAGCTTTAATCCAACACATGTTCTAATGGTCTTTCATTAGCTCATATCTGCGGCTGGGGGGGGGGGGAATCTCTCATTCTGAAGCATACCATCAGTCTCTCTCTCTCTCTCTCTATATATATATATATCAATCAAAGTACTGGAAATCCCTCACTTACAAACACACCCTGAAAATTGCTAGCTTCCTTCCATTATGATAACTTGGGTGTGCCCAGTGGTTTTACAGAACTCTGTGCGTGTCACTCTGCGATGACTCAAAAATAGGAGCTGAAATTGGTACAAGATGTACCAAGGAAGGAAGAAAATGTTAAAATGCATAGACTGCTACACAAAATAATTACTCATTTATTGTTGCGCTACACCTTAATAGAGTATCAGAGGTTTGCACAAAGAATCTGAAAGCCTCAGCAAACAATATTACCCTGCCTGTTCTTTGTTAAGTGTTGTTCTTAGCTGCAATAACTACAGATCTTCCCTAGCCTCTGTCCACCCACAATCGCTCTACCCTCTAAAGCAGGTGTGGGGAAATCAGTGCCCCCCCAGATCCACCCTCTAAGACAGGGATGTGGGCCTCCAGGATGGCCAATGAGAGCTGTACTCAAACAACCTCTGGAGCACCAAGATTTGCCCACATTTCCTCTAAGGTCTTTACCAGTCTCCTTGAGGGGAGTGAGACCAAGCTTACCAGTAAAGATAGTAGAAGAACGAGAGGAGATAGAAAGCTAGTTTACACCAGGCCTCTCTTTGGCAGTAGATCAAGGTGTCTGCATTCATTACTGCAGGAGGGTCATATGCTAGTTCCGTACTGTCTGCTGGACAGTGGAAATACCTGAAAAAGAAAAGGAAACATCTGGTGAAGGAAAAGCCTATACACAAGCCATTTGTCATGAGAAGCTAGGGGCTGTGGGATATTTAAAAGGCAGTCAAGCCAACAATTCATGTTTTGCTAGATAGGCACATGATAGGAGCTGAAGCTGACAGAGTTTTCCTGAAGTTTGCTAGAGAGGACTCTGTGAGAGACACGGGAAGGGCGTAGCTATCCTGCCTGCCAGGCCACGCTCTCTTCCTCTTTCTGCTCTGCCAACAATGTAGAACAGGGGTCAGCAACCTTTTTCAGCCATGGGCCAGTCCACCGTCCCTCAGACCATGTGGTGGGCCGGACTATATTTTTTTTGGGGGGGGGGATGAACGAATTCCTAAGCCCCACAATTAACCCAGAGATGCATTTTAAATAAAAGGACACATTCTACTCACGTAAAAACACGCTGATTCCAGGACCGTCCGCGGGCTGGATTGAGAAGGCAATTGGGCTGCATCTGGCCCCCGGGCCTTAGGTTGCCTACCCCAATGTAGAACATCTGCTAAGTCTGAGCTCCAAGCTCAAACTCCATTTTAAGCTAGACTTAAGTATGTCTTTGTAATTGAACTACCATTTTAAGTCTGCCTGAACAAAGCTGCTGTATCTGTTACTCTTCAACAAGTACTCTGAGTGGGCAAATTTTTACCTTTTACAAGACTGTTTGTGTAATTATTGTTCTAAAGGAGAGAAAAGGGGGAAATATTGGGAGAATCCAGTCTGCCTTAAAGCCTCCTGGATTACTAAAACCAAAAGGCTAAAACTAGCCTATCTAAGCTTCTCTGGAAGTGACAGATGCAGCAAGGGAAACAATGAACTTCCAAACAGGAATATGACTTACCTCCAGAAGTGATAGAAAAGCAGAGGAATGTTCAAGCCAAGGGTCAGCCATTCTTGAGCACACAGAAACATTATACAGAAAAGGCTATGGATCGAATATTCTGGCAATACTAGCTGGGAATAGGGAAAAGAAAACAGAAAGGATTTTTCAGTTGTTGGATATAATAACTCTAAGTTGTTGTTGTTTAAACCACCTTGCCAGAAAATGAGCCACACCTACAAATCTCACACTCTGCTACACCATCTGCCAAGGCCTATTTGGGTGATGAAAGACAATGATTCTTGGGATCCTGAGCAAGAGACTTCCTGGAACCAGCCTACGCCTTCCTCTACTTGTACTAAGAAGTTATTTAGCCATTTGAAAAGTACCTGGGGGAAAAATCCAAGATTATCTGCTGTGCTTTGTGTGGGAGACTGACAAGTCATTGGTGTGTGCATGTGCTTGAGAATGAATAATTAGGAAGTTTTCACCATTTACAGTCTCCTGTACAAGAATGAGGTGAATATCTGGAGAAGGCAGAAATTAAATATTACTCCTTTTCTCAATAAAAAGTAATACTTTTTGAGACCTTAACAAAATTCCAAAGCAGAACTGGTATCTATAATATAGTTGCAAAATTCTAGCATAATGTACATGGTATGCCAACTTTGCATTTATTTACTTGAGGCATTTATACCACAGCCTTTAGCAATAAAAAGACTATCAGAGGGACTTAAAATTCAGTACTAAGTATTTAGCCTATACAGTGGTACCTCAGGTTACATACGCTTCAGGTTACATACGCTTCAGGTTACAGACTCCGCTAACCCAGAAATAGTGCTTCAGGTTAAGAACTTTGCTTCAGGATGAGAACAGAAATTGTGCTCCGGCGGCGTGGCAGCAGCAGGAGGCCTCATTAGCTAAAGTGGTGCTTCAGGTTAAGAACAGTTTCAGGTTAAGTACGAACCTCAGGAACGAATTAAGTACTTCACCCGAGGTACCACTGTAGACAGAAAAAGTATTTAGCCCACAGACAGAATAGATATAGGGTGGGAAGTCTGTATCAGAGCCTAAGGAATAGATTTGAAGCAGAATGTGTTCCATATCCTCTTCCCATGTTGCCTGTGAAAGACAGAAATCAACTATTGGGCAATTGTAGTAATGGATAGTAAAAGTGAATTTGCAGTTGCACTCCAACCTGCCTGTGTTGTAAGCATTTTTTCACATTTAAAATTTTCTCTGTATGCACACATTCATTCATTCTCTGTGTGTATGTTGATGGCATCTGTCTGTCTAAAAAGGCAATGGAAGAGTGTACCTTTGGGGGTGAAGACAAATTGTTGGGCAGTTGCCCACGCAGGAGAGACATGTTTTGTTGCAGCTGGAGCAGATGAAGGCATCCATTTGTGCTGCTGTAGTGTGTATGGCCACAATTAACATGTGTTGCATGTTACCCAGTTTCCTCTCCTTTTCCAAGCTGCTCTCATCTGCTATTTCCCTCACTGTCAACCCTCTCTTAACTCTGTGAAATTAGAAAAAAACCTTGTCCGTTCTATTGATGCCTCATTAGTTTCACTGTTGTGTTAAATTCAAGTATTACTATCTATACTTGTGCTGGTGCAACTATTCAGGCCCTTTCGAAGAAGCAGAGTAGGGGAAATGCTGAAGAAAAGGTCAATGACTTCCCCTGACTTTATCAGTTTTCACCAGATACTAGGGACCAGACATTGGTGAAAATCGGCAAGGTTACCTTATTAGTTTCACTAGATAGGAGAGATAGGGGAACATGGTAAACAAAACAGTAGTGGAGTAGACAAACAGGAAAGTTACTGATTGGATCCTTAATCCTTCCTGGTTTGTCTTTTGGTCCCAGTTTACACACTGGTCTCAGCTGCTGGCTGTGTCTCTTGACTCTGATCTCCTGGTGCAATTCTTGGCTCGTGGTTCAGTTCAGACCACTGCCTAGAGCTCAGGCCTGACAGGGCCTGATCCCTTACCCAGTTATGTCAAGATAGATTTCCATACATTGCAGTGCGCACAGCATTAGTTTATGTCTGAGACACAAGCACTTAGCATGAGGGAACCTGGGCTGCTGGCCAACCATTAATGTTTGGATAAACAATGTATGACCTGACTTAGTCTCACATGGAAGTGTTGTGTGTAGCAAATCCTACAGTCTGTCACAAGTGGCCAAGTGGCCTTCCAGTAGTATATTCCACACATCAGACAAATGGTGAGGGCGTTAAAGAGCATTTTTAAAAGTTAATCTTCAGACTCCTCTTTCTCTCAGAGACCTCTGAAGCCTGCCTCTAAGAGCTAATTCAAACATTATACAGGCAAAAACCAATTGACACGTGTCCGATTGATGCACGATCGCACAAAGCGCCAAACCCAGAAGTGACTTGAACACATCAGACCAAAAAAAGCCAGACGAAAGCAAACCTATATACAGGGAAAAACCCATTTATGTGGGTTCAGTATGTGCACCTCACACATGGGCATCACATGCTGAACCTGGAAGTCACAAAATCAGCACCAAAACGGGTGGGATGCGGTGAGGCAGAACTGGATGTTCACAGGCTTTTAAAATTGTGTTTCAAATAGAAACAATTTCACTTAAACACGCAGTGCCTTGCAACGCAACCTCAACGTAAATAGGGGGTTGCCTTTCTCACAAATAAAACTGAGCAGTGTACAAAATGATACAATTTTATGTAATCTAGCTAGAAAGCCTTTAAAATGGCCTCTAATGAAATAACTTTTCAAATTCTCTTTTCTTCCTCAAAGGGTCATCTTTTACTATTATCATGCCTACAGCATATCAGCCCATGGAAGTGGTTTAAAGGGGCAGGGATCTAATATCCCGCAATGTCAAATACTCTCTCCAAATGACTGTTTTTATTATCTTGTAGTATAGTGTTCTTTGATACTATGATTTTATTTCCATCCTGCCATTTTCTGAAGAGTTCGCAATGAGTAAAATAGAATGTTAAATACAACTTAATAGGATGTCTTAAGGGTGGGGGAGTCCATCTGTTGAAATCTATTGCAATCACTGCTAATACCTTTAAATGTTGGGTTACTTCATTTGATAGATGCCCACCATTTAAACGCTTTTTATCTGTGACCACAATTAATCTTTCTTGCTGAGAAGGTTGTAACTATGCAATAAAGGAAAAGGAAAGTTCAGTGGTGATAAGTTATTACCAGTGCCTGGACCCTGTACTGTGAAACTGCCATGATTTATCATCTGTGAAAGATTTAACACACTGAAGATGCTCTCAACGAAAAGAAAATAGACACAATGTGATCATAATGGTGGCAGACGCAGCAGTGTTAATAGTACCTACAAAGCAAGTTCTTTCAAAGAAAATTTATACCAAACAAAGCCTAGGGCTGTGTCCATACACTTCCACATTTCTTATCCATGCTAGTGGGTGATGTTAGTGGGATATTTTCACACTGGATGTTGTTGTTCCCTCTCCTCAATTAGTAAAGGATCCCTGGATGGTTAAGTTCAGTCAAAGGTGACTACAGGGTTGCGGCGCTCATCTCACTTTCAGGCCATGGGAGCCGGCGTTTGTCCACAGACAGCTTTCCGGGTCATGTGGCCAGCAGGACTAAACCGCTTCCGGCGCAATGGAACACTGTGACAGAAACCAGTGATTGTCAATGGCTTAATGGAGGACTCTGAAGGCCACATTCAGCCCCCAGGGCCAGTGTTCCCCACCTGCCTATCACTTGCTCTATTATACCACACTGTCCACTCCCTGTTGGAAAAGGTGCAGAGAAGCACCAAGTCTTCTCCAAGGTGATGCCTGTTGTTGTTTCACAAGGGATATACTCAAGGCAACGGAACACCGTGACAGAAACCAGAGTGCACGGAAACACTATTTACCTTCCCACCACAACAGTACCTATTTATCTACTTGCACTGGCATGCTTTCAAACTGCTAGGTTGGCAGGAGCTGGGACAGAGCAAATTCAATCCGCCCAACCTTCTGATTGGCAAGCCCAAGAGGCTTAGTGGTTTAGACTACAGCATCCCTTCCCTTAATTAGTACCTCCCCACTCACCATAAATTCCAAAAACCTGAGGTCTGTTGTGAGCATACACACAGGTATTTGTTCAGCTGTGTGCATAGCTTTTTTTCTAAAAGATAATTTTTAGAATGTAAGTTTTCTGATAAACCAGATCTGCACGAAAGAGCAGGGATTTTTTAAAATAAATAAGTAAGTAAGTAAGTAAGTAAGTGTATGTCACTCCAAGCCAGAAAATCTGAGGTATGGTGTGGGCATTCAAACAAGTACGGGTTTGTGTTAGGGTGCGCAACAACATTCCTACCTGAGCTGGCAGAGGTGGTCTTGAAGAAGCCACACACAGTGGTGTTGGATGACTTAGTATCTACACTGAACCACTTTATCTGGTCAAGCTCAGGATTATATACGCAGTACCTCAGGGTCCAACACATGTGGCACATCATAGCAATGATCTGGTGTTTGCCACTGAGCAAATCACAACTTTTTGCAGAACTGTGGAGAACTGAGTTTAGGATTGGTTCCCAGGTGAGCTCTGAACAATTATATAGGTCAGACCAGGCATGGGCAAACTTGGCCCTCCAGATGTTTTGGGACTACAACTCCCAGCATCCCTAGCTAACAGGACCAGTAGTCAGGGATGATGGGAGTTGTAGTCCCAAAACATCTGGAGGGCTGAGTTTGCCAATGCCTGAGTCAGTAGTGGAGCACAAGTGGCACATATCTGGTACTGAGTATGACTGAACCCAGGTAAGAAAACACAATCATACCTAACATATAGCAGTGATGGTGGCAAATAAATCCAGCTTCTTTACCGTCATTACCATCATGACATCCCAAGAGAATGAAACCCAGCTTTCCCAATAAGGCTCAGACCCGCTTCTTGAACCAATCTTGAAGAAGGCATGTGAATGCCATCTTTAGAGTCAGCAGAAAATGAGTAATAACCTCCCTCAGACCATCTATGGACCATCAATTTCCTCAGCTGTTTTTTTAGTTGGCATTTCAACTCTTTCTACTCACATATGGTAACACTGCAGGAGGACAAGCCAATTAGTGAACGACATTTTAAGTCTTCATCATCTCTTTCTGGAAAGTGAAAATGTCTACAAAATATCCCTGTGGAAATCTGTGATCTGCTGTGATTTGTTCTACATTGCTTACTAAAACAGATAATGTGAAATTTTATCCCCCAGCCCATGAAAAATCCTTACAGGACAGGAAGGAACCATGATTTTCAGAGCAAGGAAATAATTGAATTTCACTTTGGGTTTCCTCTTAGAGCTGAACGACTGTTAGCTGGGGCTCATTGAGAAATATCAGCTGCTAAAGGAACACCTCTGTGAGGATAACAGCCAATTACCCTATTTAACAGCTATTAAGTGGTGCTAATTGCAAGCTATAGACCACAAGCAGGATAGGTTTAGAGCAAGCAAGGGGAAGCAAAAGAAACCGGATGATACGAGCAAGTAGCAGCACTTTAAAAATGTGTGCACTGAATTGGAATAAGAACCCAGCTGGGATGCACATGGTGGCAGCTCCTTTCTTATGTTGTAGACCTTAAAATGCTTGGGAACATTGCATGTGCACCGTTAAAACAAACCTACAACCACCACAGCAAAAAGAGACTAAAAAACAAATGTGGACCATCTTCACCTACCGGTATATCAGTGTTAAGAGATGGGATATCCATTGAAGAAAAGAGGGCCCTTTCCCCATATATGGTGGGCATGCTTAAAAGAACACATGGCTTTCACAGACAATTCTTGGCAGCAGTTTCAAGATAACAGATCCAAGTTCCACTGGACCCTTTTTTCAAAATGGATTATTCCAGTTAAATACTCTATGTGTGGTACAAAAACGTATTAACTACCTACTGAATAGGGGATTAGTTCCTGGAAACATATTGCACTAGTACTCCATCATCAGCACTGATTTGTTTTTCAGACAGAATTTAAGGCATGGAACCTGATTTTTATCCATGAAGTTTATTAACTGCTATATAGTTAAGAAAGGCTTCCCACTAAGGTCCCTAAGTAACCTTTAAAATCAACGAAGTGCACTTATTTAAAATTGTACCCAGGCATTGCATTCAACTAGTATTGGTACCGGGGGGGGGGTACTCGGTGTCTGCCACACAGAAATTTTGAAAGAGATTTGCCAAAGCCAAACCTAAGCATTTTTAGAAGCGGTGTAATTTTTTTGTGAGAGGTGCTTTTGGGAGCCTAAGCTGAATGGGAATTGGAATATTTTGCATTTGTTTTGTTTATTTTATATAGGTTTTCAAACCACTGCTATCCATGCCACATACCTTTGGGATGGTCTTGGCTACATGCATAAAGAAACGCTATTGCTTTGATGAATCACAGCCACAAAGAAGAACTTCAGTATTACAGCACAGCATACAGCTATATTTCAGTTAAGTACTTAACTGAGTGTGACCCACTAAACTCAATGGGATTTACTTCTGAATAGACAAGCAAATATATTTATAGCTCGATAGCTCTAGCTACAGCTCTAGCTCTAGTAATGGCTGGTATAGTGGGGTAGAGCAACAGAGCTGCCCTCCTGATACCTGCATTACTATAGCTTACCTGGATAGGGCAGAGCAGGTTGGTAGTAAGGTTGCAGCTGTGAGGATGCATTGGAAGGAATGCACATGGCGCTGACCTGGCTGCTACCCTGCGCCACCAAGGTAAGGGGCAACAATGAGGGTGTTGAGGGAGTGAATCGTCAGCTCTACCCCACTCCACCCACCCTTCCCTTTCTGCCCGACTATATACCCCTCTGAATTCTCCTGGTTATCTCTCACACTTTTCTCTCCCTCTGCCTTCTCTATTTGCATGAACACATATCAGCAATCCTATGTTACCCTTTCTTTCCATACAGCTGTTGGCTATTTGCAGTTTAGTAGCGCAGAGAGCTTGCTGGGGAGACCATGCATTAAAAAGGGACTCAAAAATAAATAAGGTTTTAATAAGAAAAACAAAAACTCCTTTTACACTAAATACATCAACAACAAACCAGACCCAACCACCAACCCATCCCCCAGGGTAATGGGAGAGCTAGGTGCTGCTCCTTATATACTACACCCAATTGCCAACACAGCTTAATCAGTACAACTCAGCAGCACCTGCTATGTTTCACAGCTGTAAAGCTGGGTCTCGTTATTTTGCTCTGGCCCTTGCTCTGGCCCCTTAAAGACATACACATCGGGTGGAACAGTGATGAACCTTTACATTTAAAGAAACCATTCAACAATTTTGCACTGCAGCCCTATTTCTCATTCCCTCTTCTCTTTCAGTAGCACTGACCTATCAGCACCACCTCTACTGCTATTCCAATTTGTCTGTTTATTTACCAGACAGATCTCCCTGCACCCCCACCTTTCAGATACCTTCCTCTACTTTATATTCCTCCATACCAGGCATTCCCAAACTCGGACCTCCAGCTGTTTTGGGACAACAACTCCCATCATTCCTAGCTAACAGGACCAGTGGTCAGGGATGGTGGGAATTGTAGTCCCAAAACAGTTGGAGGGCGAGTTTAGGGATGCCTGCTCCATACCAAAGTCTTTCTGTACAAAGTCTTTCTCCATTCTATCCCCCACATACACACTTCACAGCTGTTCTCTGTCCTTCACAGATATCTCAGAACTTCCATCTCTGCTGCTCCCATTCTCTCTATGGTGCTCCTAGCTTGCTGGACCACCTCAAAATATATTCTTAAAATATGGAGATATTAAGTGTCCAGAACAGACAAAAAGGATGGATTTTCAGTTCCACATCTGAAATCCATTCCATCTGAGTAGTCATATCATAATTCCTTGCAAGGCAGCAAAAGAGTTACCACTAAGCTTAGCTTTAATTAATGCCTATTTCCCTGTTGAAAGTGATCTGTTTGAGACCCATCTCTTTGATGTGATGCTAAGAACTAAAGCTTGCAGATTGTGACATCTTTGCATCAACTTCGGACCAAACTAGGTTCACAAGGACACACAACTGCCAAGTAAGTGCTATAAAACTAGATAATAGTGATGATGATTGCACCAAACTTCCCTGAAATATGTCTTTAATACTTTTTTTAATGAGCCACAAGCTAGGTTAACTTTTCTAATGCATGTAATTTACAAGTAATTACGTTATTTATCTCTTTAGTTGTACAGAGAATCAGTCAAATTATTTGAAAAGAAACAATTCCCATCATTATTGCATTTTCTCTCCACAACAGCATAGGGTACAATTACATTTTTGCCAGTAAAGAACTATCACAAATTACCACTTCGCAGGAAATCGCTAGCACCTTCTCGCTATCTCTTGTCAGAAAGTACCATAGGCTCTCAACAACCTCTAACCAACTTGTTGGAAATTATTATACAGTATATTATTTTGCCATTTCTAATTGAGAGGGGGCAACTCTCCTTACCAAATTCAAGGTACGTTTGAGGGCCTCCTTCTCTTCTAGGTAACCTTTTAATGGCCACATTGCAATGGTGGGTGGGGCCAGAGGCAAAAGTGTTTAGAGCAGAGGTTTTCAACCTTTTGAGTCCATGGCTCCCGTGACTGTTAAGTTGTGGGTGAACATATCAGATGACACAGCGATTCTTTAGACAGCTCTTGTTTATTCACAGGCCAGAACTGAACTGAACTGAAGGGTTCAGACAGCCTGCTTATATAGAGCTCCCCTACAACGCAACAGTAACAACTTTCTGTAACTATCCAATCACTGAACTTCACTTCCAATTCCTTATTTGCATATGTGGACCTGAGTGAAAACTATCTACAGTATTCCCCTGCTGGCCCAGGGTGACAACTTCAGTACATAACAGTGACCAACTACATTCTTTCTGCACCACCACCATGGGGCTCAGAAGCCCAGTTATGTCACCCCTTGCCTGCAGAGCCGGCAGCCCCTCACCCCTTTTCAAACACCCTCCCTTGTAGAGTGTTCCCTCTGCATCCTCTCCTCTCCCCTCTCCTTGGGTGTCCTCTGGGCAGCCACTGCTGCTCCCCCTGGTCTCTGAGCTGCGCCCCTCGCCCCAAAGAGAGGTGCCTCCTCACACTGCCCTACAGGGGCCTGGGAAGCACCCCCTGGCCAGCTCCAGAGGCACCATTCGCATGGGGAGCTTGTAGCCAGAGCTGCTGCAACAAACAGCCATGTAAACCTTTGGGAGGCAGAGACGTGAGAGGGCATCAGAGGAGGGAGGGAAGGAAAAAGGGAGAGAGGCCAGTGTTGCTCACAGCACCCCTGACCATCATTCAAGGCACCCCAGGGTGCCATGGCACACTGGTTGAAAACCACTGGTTTAGAGCAATGCATGTAATTGTTAGCTATGTACAGTAGACTAGTTTCTACACACACTCAAACATTCCTCTGTTTCCTCCATCTAGGCAAGCAGGAGGCATACATTGGAGATCAAAAACACATTCTAGCCAGGCAAAAATACTCAAGGAAGGGGTGAAACAGGACTGGTAGTGGGTGTAGCCTCAGGTGATTGTCAATGGCTTAATGGAGGGACTTTGAGGGCCACATTCAGCCCCCAGGGCCAGTGTTCCCCACCTGCCTTAGTCTATCACTTGCTCTATTGCACCACACTGCCCACACCCTGTTGGAAAAGGTGCAGAGAAGCACTAAGTCTTCTCCAAGGTGATGCTTGTTGTTGTTTCACAAGGGATATACTCAAGGCAAAAGGAACCTTGATTCATACATTGTGAAGTACAGTCGTACCTTGGTTCTCAAACGGAATCCGTTCCAGAAGTCCGTTCGACTTCCGAAAACGTTAAAAAACCGAGGCGTGGCTTCCGATTGGCTGCAGGAGCTTCCTGCACTCAATCAGAAGCCGTGTCAAGAAGTTTGACTTCCAAAAAACGTTCGCAAACTGGAACACTCACTTCGGGGTTTGCAGCCTTTGGGAGCCAAAATGTTTGAATCACAAGGCGTTCAAGAACCAAGGTACGACTGTAAACACTTTCTGCTGGCAATGAGATTAATTTTTGGACATGAGAAAGCAACCTGGTTGCAAGGGAAATGATATGGAAGAAGCCTATGTAAGCTGATTTCTCCAAAACCTTTCAAAAGCACTTTATTCCACTCTGCCTCTCTGTCTGCCACCATTATTATTATTATTGTTGTTGTTGTTTTTGTTGTTGTTGTTATTATACCACCCTTCATCCAAAGATCACAGGGCAGTTTACAATATAAAAACACAAGAATACATACCATCGTAACAGACAAAGACAACACCTTCCCGTCCGCCCCGTCCGCAGTTTAAAAGGCCATAGATTATCCAAAGGCCTGGCAGAAAAGGAATGTTTTTGCCTGGCACCTAAAGATATGTAACGAAGGAGCCAGGTGAGTTTCTCTGGCAAGAGCATTCCATGAGTGGAGAGCCACTGCAGAAAAGGTTGGTGCCCTCTGGGCCTCATCCATATCATAGGGGCAGGAAGAGAGAGAACACCTCTTTTCAGTGACTCGTGCAAGCTTGCAACAGCTCTGCAGTTTACATAAACAGCAAATTGCTCCATTTCTCCTCTGACAAGTGAGGGACACTTTACAGAAATAGTCCAAAAATAAATGATTCATGAAAGAATAAAGGGGAAAGGATTTCCATGAACCAGCTAGAAGTTTTGTACTCAGTGTATTTTTAGCCCAAATAGAATTTTTGTTCTCGGTGATAAAAATGTTAGGAACAGAAACAATGCCTTAATAGAACTTGTCTTCAGGACTTGAGTTCAGAGTTCACCCAGAATCACAGGCAATCTGGAAGTGTCTCAAGGGGCATCTAGTCCAACTTTCTCAATAAGCAACAAGACTTCATTCTGCCTTCTTGGTAAAAATTCAAGCTCATCTCTTTCTGACTAAGGCTGCAAATCTATGCACACTAACCTGAGAGTCATTCCCAATGAAATCATTGGGGCTTACTTTTGAGTAGGCTTGTATAGGGTTGCACTGTAATGGAGGCAAGATGCTTCAGCTTGCTATAATTGTTCCCGTTTATTGGATTACATTTTTGCTTACAGCCAGGACAGTACATGTTCTAGACCAGTACAGTAAAGAGCAAAACTCACAGAACTTAAGTTTTCCGGGAATCTCGTTTTTCATTTTAAGAGAAGTAGGTTGCTAGCCCTCATGGCCCTCAAGATGAGCTTGAAAGCAATTTTTAATTGATTTACAAGCAACTGTATGCATGTCTACTCAAAAGTAACTTCCATTGAGTCCAATAGGGCTTACTCCTTGGTAAGTGGGTAAAGGCAGTATCCTTAGATGTTTCTAGTTCATCAAAAAGCACCCCATATGGGACAGGTACTCAAACATTCTTTATCTATGCTATATTACCATGAAAATCTGATATTTTCCCCTTCTCATCAGAGTCTGAATGTCTTATTGATATGTCTGTTGTGAGAGCCATTAGCCCAGGATAGGTCTGCCAACAAGAATATGGAGCCTCCATATTCAGAGGCAATTTGCTTCTTATTACAAGATGATGAAGGCAAAGAGCAATATGCTCTTTGTGTTATTACACTGTGATATGCTATTATGTTGTGAAGCACCCTGAGACCTGCGGCTATAGGAAAGTATACAGATAATAATAATAATTTCAAAGTTTAAGAAAGCACCATAAATTGAACACCATTCACACACTCTTTAAATGTGTAACCAAGAAGAAAACTGAAGTGAAACTAAGCAGAAATATTCTGGTTCTTTTGCTTATAGCTGAACTGTTGTGTTTTTCCCAGAGCAGTTTTTTTTTAAAGAAAAGCACACCTTTCCAACACTTAAAAAACTGTCTGCTTATCTTCCTATAGCTTGCAATATGTTCTCAAGTTATTTCTAGGGCAAACAGACCCAAACAGCAAAATATGAACTCACAATACAGGAAGAAAACAAGGGATATTATCTGGGCCATCATTAAGAGACTTGCTGTCAGTATTCAGGTCTCACACCTGGAACAGCAACACTCCAGGGATATGCTCTATTTTCATATTTCATTTAGCACCTGGAGGGGTGGGGCAAAAGATGAGTTATTTGCAGTGCTGTAGTGCTTTCACCACCAGTCTGTCTATTCTGGGATATTCAAGTAGTTGCTGGGAGACTAGAGCAAATTTCTTACAACTAGTCAGTTTGCACATTATGCTAAACCAAACCATGGCTTAGCTGGAGCATGTAAGCACAGGATCCCGAAGAAGACATTGCAGCCACTTTGTTCCTACTGCTGTGTGGCTTAGTGTATTTTCTGAACCCAGGTTCATGGTTTGTTTCTTCCAGACAAACCACAAGCCGCAAACAAATCTTGGTTATAGCTTGTGGTTTGCCTGGAGCAAGTCAACCATGAGCCCACGGTATGGGTAAAAATTACATTGATATTTATATCATTGGCAGAGCTCTTACATGTACATTTATTTCCTTTATAATGAACATCAGTATAATATATCCTTATATTGTTTCTGTTATAATATCAATATATTATATTACAATTTACAGTTTAACCCTTCTTAATTATTATTTTGTAAAATTGCTGTGAAAGAAACGTAAGATGCTTTACCGGCATTACGTTTTAAATTAGTTTTTAAAGCGTATCAAACATTTCCACTGAAGATCAACAAATGTGCTTTAGGAGTACCTGTTCTCCAGTTTCCTCTCTGCCACCAGAGTGGAAATTGCTGCATACTGGAAAGTGTAACCCTCCATCCATCATGAACACAAGGTACCATAGGATTAGGACAACTAATTCATGCAGCTAGGATTTCTAAGAACCTGACCACACCACAAGCTTGGTATCTTTACTGCTTGGTATCCCTTTCTGGCAAATGCAGATGGCATCTAGTCAAATCCTGCACCACCTGACAAATATTACTGTCATACTGGCAGCCTGGACGCATGATGCAGCTAAGCAGGTCAAGGTCTGGTCAGTGCCTGGATGGGAACCACCTGGGAACCACATACCTGCTGCCTCAGGTTCCATGATGGAAGACAGGTGGTATTGTAACTGAGTAAAAGGAATATTAATTTCTAGTATTCTCCAGGAATCCATCTCTATTTTATATGTGTGAACTTATTATCATCCTTACAGTTTTACTTTAGTTTATTGCAACTGATAATACAATGTGGGGGCAACTGCCTCTTTTAGTTTTCTTGTTCTAATCAAAAATATAAAACATACAGAATCAAGGTGGTTTGTTTCTTTTTAACTGCCCATGAACTTCCTTTTTTTATAAAAAAAAAAATTAGAACTATTTACAAGTCTTGCATGGTTAGCAGCACAGCAAGTGGCTTAAATAGAAACCCTAAATATAGCTCTCACTTTGTCTCAAGCAGAGTTTGCCAGGCCATGCTATCTGTGCCATTGTCTCATAGGACATTTAAGCTATTAAAATATGAATTGAACGATTGCCTGAAGAACCGCAGCAAAGGGTTGCTTTTTTTTTATTTTTACAAGTGCTAGTAAGTCTTCACAATTCATCTCTGTTGCCTCTTGACGTGGGTTTTGCTACTAATCACACTGTTGAAGGAGCCTTCTACAGGTTTCCTGTGGCCCATCCAATGAGTCAGACTCAGCAGTGTCATGATATAGAGGAGGTCTGAATGGGGAAAGCATTATCTGCTGTAAGAAAGATTGCAGGGAGTGAAAAGCCGCTAACAAGGCAGCCATCTTTGGACTCTAATGGTTGCAGGCAAAGTGCACTCACTCCATCTCTGTTACAATCACTGTCAATGGAGGGGACCCATGGTGGGCCATTTTCTGTTCTCATTATGTTTTTTGTCATGGGGTAATTCATCAAACCTAAGAATATCTCCTGCACTCTGTTCAGTAAAATTGCCAGAATGCATCTTCCTACTGCCAGGACTTCAAATAGCTTCATTTCTACTAGCTGATAAGGGCAGGTATAAGAGTGAAACTGGGAGCACAAGGAAAACTTGTTCCACATAGAATCACAGAATAGGGAGAGTTGGGAGGGACCACGGGGGTCATCTAGTCCAACCCCCTGCAATGCGTGAATCTCAGCTGAAGCATCCATGACAGATGGTCATTCAACTTCTGCTTAAAAACCTCCAAGGAAGGAGAGTCCACAACCACCTGAGAGAAACCGTTCCACTGTTGAACTGCTCTTACTGTCAGAAAGTTCTTCCTGATGTTTGGTTGGAATCTCTTTTCCTGCAACTTGAAGCCATTGGTTCGAGTCCTACGTTCCAAAGCAGAAGAAAACAAGCTTGCTCCATCTTCCATGTGACAGCCCTTTAGATATTGGAAGACGGCTATCATAACTCCTCTCCGTCTCCTCTTATCCAGGCTAAATATATGCAACTCCATCCACCATTCCTCATAAGAAAGCACAGGAGCATTTGTCAAAAGCACAGGATCATATCCAATATTGTGTGAGTAGAAGGCAAGCTTGTCCAATGGATGTTTCCCTCCCCTCCTTCCCCCAAAAGCCTGTGCAGAGGGTGGGACAAAGCCTTTGTCTTTGAGATTAAGCAGATCAGTTTCCTGCCCAATTATTTTTAAATTTATGGTATTTTCAGTGTATTTCTAAACATATTGCGAACCCAGAGGCTTTCAAATAGGACTGGGTGCACTTTTGAATAAATATAGTTACACAGAAGTAGAACTCTCTGAAGTCTGGAGGAATTACTTCTGAGTAAGAATACTGAGTATTAGGACCCTTCCAGACTGGTATTATAACTGCAGGTATATCCTGAAACCTGTTACTGACACATTAGTGCAGTAAAGGTGTCTTTATTCAGTTTCATTAGTTGTTCTGCGATGCGTCCCCTGAAGCTACCTCATCATTGCTATCTGAAGGGCAATAGAACAACAAAAGTAGGGGACACACACCCCAAATATTTGTGATATGAAAAGTTGCGGCATTTCAGCAGGAAGTTACAGGATATGCACTGACTGGAAACTTTTGCAGGCACAAAGAGTATTGAAAGTGGGATTGCCTGTGATTGCCCCATAAGAACAAACCACAATAAATGTGCAATACAATAAATGTGCAATACAAAAGACACCTGGAGGGGTCCTTACATTGCTAGTCCCATCTAACCACACACATAAAGAGCATGGGGAACCTTGGCCTCCAAGTGAGCATCAACAGTACAGTCAGTTATGCGGGAGTTCTTGCCATCCAATGTGACTAGTCAGTGAAGTTTTACAATTCAGCCCTTTCTAAATTAAGAAGCAGGTTGACCTAAGTAAGTCAGCAGCAACAACAATGATTTACAGAGGTAAATCAACAATGATTTACAGAGGTAATCAAGGAAGGACTATAAATTCTATTTGTGGCTTTAAGACCAGCTCACCTGCTCATTTTCTAAGAACGTAAAAGCAAAGGCCCATCTAGTCCAGCATTCTGTTGACCCCAGAAGCCAAGAAGATTCCTCTGGGAAGCCCACAAGCAAGACATGAAGGCAACAACCTTCTCCCTTTGCTGATTTTTAGCAAGTGACAAGCTGCATATAGCCATCCTGCTAGTCGCTAGGAATGGGCGAATATGTCAAATAGTTTCTCCCAGTTTCTAATTTTCCAGTTTTCCATTATTTTTTGGGGTTGTTTTTAAGTTCTCATGAATATTCATCAGCATTTTCATGTGAATTTCTCCAACTATACAATATTTTAAATGCAGTTTCCCTTAACACAATACATTTGTGTATGTTATTTTCACAAATATATGCATTTATATGCGCACTTTAATGTACACATTTTTGAATACATTACTTGACCAGAGAACAGCCTTGCAAAATTCAGATAACTGTAAATTTTGAAGGATAGCTTTATTTCAGGTTGAATATTGTTTTAATAAGTGTGAATTTGCCTTTAAATACAAACTTAAATTGTTTTCTCCCCCTCATCCCTACTAGTAACCAGTAACAGGGCAGTGTACATTTAGGGGTCTCTCATCACAGAAAATTTGTATACCAAACTAATAAGGACTGCCATAACAATTTTCTGCATGCATTTTCTAAGTATGTAATGTAGATTGGTCCTATAACTGTTTAAATAAATCACTAATACACTTTCAGACAAAGATGCTAGATTTTTAATATAGAAGGAAGAGCCTTAAACAGCTGGGTAAAAGGTTGTACAGTAGTTGCTGTATAGAACATTGGTCTTCAGCTGATGGCTCCTGCCCAACAACTGGATGATGTTCTACCCTAAGGTGGTTTGTGCTCTAATCATGGAGCCCAGTTGTACCAAAACCAACAGTAATAGTCCCACAAACTTTAAAAATTGTCATGGTTTGAACCAATCATTTTCACAAAAAGACCTTAAGGTGAAATCTTTCATTAGCCCAACTCTTTAAAAAAAATGAAAAAAGAAAAGTGCCTAACAGATTTTGTTTTTCATTCAAGTGAGTTATTTCAGGAGAACGCTTTAGGAAGCAGAAAATGCACACAACACACTGCACTATCCAAGGCCACACAAAGCAATATAATAATGAGGCTGCATACCTGAAGCGTGCCTTAACAATTGCATCCATCTTCCCCAACATTTTACTTTATTCATAAACTAGTTTAGTGTTCTAATTGCTCCCCAAAGCTCTGCCGCTAACCTTGAATACCCCAGAATTGCTATCCAGAGAAAGCTACTGTGAGCAGTTGTCTGCCGTGAGTACTGCCTTTCTGTTGAATTATCTTGTTTTTCTTTTTCCCTACAGCACATATCCCAATTAAAAGCAGCATTTCCCCGAAGACCTCTGGAAAAGGGGACTGTATTAACAAACAATTTAAGAGTATGAAAAGTAACCTGTTCCCTAGAGTGTGCGATATGTGGAGGATGTAATTAACGGAAAGGTACTGCTTCTGCTGTTAGCAAGGATGCTTAGGCTCAATAAAAATTAAATACCAGTGTGGGCAAGACATCTCCAGGCAACACACATATATTAATAAAATTACCACTGTCTGTTGCTTTACATTACAAAAACTGGGGCACGACTTGGAAACTAGAAGGATGCTGACTTAGCAAGTAACACAATGAAACTATTTCCAGGACAGCAGTAGTGTTAGTATCTCGGAGCAAAGAGAAGATAGGAAGCTGCCTTATACTCAGACAGATCACTGATCCATCAAGCTCAGCACTGCCTATATAGATTAACAGTGTTTCTCCAGGGCTTCAGATAGGCCTCTTTTCTAGCCATACCCAGAAACAACAAGGATTCACCCTGGGGCCTTTTGAATGCAAAGCTTCATTCCAAGTGCTCCCATCAGTGAGCTGGGATAGCTTGGTTGGTAAGCATGAGAATCAACCTCAGGGTCATGGGTTTGACCCCTACGTTGGGAAAAAGACTCCTGTATTGCAGGGAGTTGGGATATATGATCCTCAGGGTCTCTTCCAACTCAGTGCTTCTATGGTGAGCTATTGTCCTTCCCTCAAAAACAAAGAACACAAGTAGAACAGCTGCAGTGTTTCCAGGAGCAAGTGAATAATATGTTGACGTCATGCACATTTAAGGACCTGACTGAGCCAGCCAATTCCAGACATGATTTAAGGTGTTTAAAGGTGAGCAATCGCATATATAGGATATCCACTTGTAATGAGTTTGCTGTCGGGAACACCAGTGTGAGACTGTTGTTTTCCAAAGCACTCAAGATGTGGGGTTGCTGTGAGAGCCACTGTGCAGGTAACCTCACTAGAGAATTAACAGAAGATCGTTTATTGCTCAAAAAGTTACGTAAAGAGAAAGCAGCAAATGCCTTTCCAAGACCCTTAAAAGAAGTGCTCAGTTTTCCCTTTCAAATGTTTGAAACTCATAATAAAAGGCTCACAATAAAAGGTATGCCATTTATCAGATTATTGTTGCATAGTTATAGAAAAAAGCGTAGGAACAAAGATTTAAGGTTGTATGTCAGGTTCCAAATGATGCCTCCTAAAGTCATCTGCTTCCTTAAAAAAAAATGAGGCTAATAAAGTGAAGCCAATGATGTTCTGAAAAGTTCATTTCTTTTTAGAATATTATTGACTGATTGGAAGTCCCTCCTAATTAGCTTCCTTCCTTCCTTCAAAGGTCACATCAGTTTCAATTTCCATTCTGCCATTATCGCCTCCTTGCTGGAGGAGGAACCTTAGGAAAGGTCCAGTGCTATTTCTAGCAACACCGATACGATGGCTCAGATCCCTTTGAACAGCCCAAAGCCCACAGCCGACGTGGGTTAATTCCTACCTTTCGCAAAAGAAAGCAGATTCGTTCAATATTTCTCAATCGCTCTCTCTGTCAAAGAAAAGAGAGAGAAAGGGAAGGGTGAAAGGGTACAATTTAAGACACTCATGAATCAAGGAAACTACCTCCAAATGGAGTAAACTCAACCCAAGCAGTACTGTGATGAAGAGGGAATGCACATGTATTGGGGTTAATGCCCATGAGGTCACACAAATTATTTTGACACAATGAGGATTAACTTCTGCAATCAGGAGCATTGGTGTCCATGGAGGCTCCCTATGCAGTTGAAAACTCTGATTTTCTAGAAGTCTCAATCACATGGGGAGCAGCTTTGGGCACAAAAAGCTCCCCACTGCAGTTCATCCTCATTATGCAAAGAAGCTGGTAAATTGGTGTTTCCTTGAAGACAACGCTATACCTGTGTTGACTCTTCAACCCAGTAATGACTGAAAAGTGCTTGACTTGGGTAGAGTTTCATTAATAATTAATTAATGGTAATAAAATCTGTGCCCACTACTTCAAGATGTAATGTTGTGTCTAAAGAAGTCATCCCATTCATGCAAGGATATCTGCTTGCACAGTGGAACTTCCTCTTCCTTCCTCTCCCCATGCGTGCTCCCCCAAATGTGCTCCAGAGGGTTGGAGGAATCTCCAGAACAGATTTGGGAAGTGCGTAGTGGAAGAGAGGAAGGGGACAAATAAAATGATTGCTTTATTGATTCCATTGCACATGCAGAAGTCCTTGTGCAAATGGGACGACTTCCTTGGATACAAACCATTGTAATGCATTATCCACCAACATAATTTGGATGACACCGGGAAGGAGATTCAACCTCAGATTTAGTAAATTCAGTCACTTTAGTTCAGGTCTGTGTTCATTATTACATCTGCCATGGTGTAGCAGAAGTTGCTTCCTCTGTAGGGTAACAGTGTAAAGGTTACCACCACTGAGTGGATCCACATCCTTACAAATGGGTAGTGCATGATGGCAGTGAGGGCAAGGGGTGTCTGAGTCAGCACTGTGTAGACACACTTTTTTTCCTTTATGGCCAGAGACATCCAACAAGTAATTGCTGCTTTAAGTGTAACCATGGTGATGAACATTGGCAGACCTGAGCTTTGCCCAAAAAGTTTAAGGAAGCCCTCTCTAGTCTTCCAGTTTAAGCTTGGCATTTCAGCTTGGTTAAGCAAACATTGCCACTTGCCTTGTGTGTGTTTTATTTATTCATTTCACTGCTCAACATGCTTCACTGGTTTTCAAAGACATTGGGAAAACCCCTCAGCCTTCCCTTCAGGTTCTATTTAGGTAAACATGGTTACTGTGCCTTTCACCTATGGAATATATCAGCTATTACATCAGAGACAAATTCTCTCACCTCATAAGCAAGTTTAATTTGATTTACTACAGTGGCTATCTCCCTCTTACACTGTGAGACTTCGATCTGCTTCTCTAGGCAAAAATGGACATGAATTCCTACAGCAGTCATGAGTGGCAAGCATACACAGTCATGCAGCTTTGGAAGGAGATAACTTCTCTGCTGTAGAGCTTGAAATCCTTAAAAGGGGAAATGATTCCCTAGGATGAGGCGCTGGCTACAGCCAGGCATCAAGGGGAATTTAAATTCTACATTCCCTTTGGAAATAACAGGGTAGTTATTAAAGGTTAACAGACTTAAGCAGCGCAGCATCTACAATCGGTCTTTTAGTCATTTAACTATGGGCCATAGGCTCAAATAGCTGTTTTTCAAGCCTATCTTTTGGAGAGATGCTATTCCTGAAACCTTTGGAGCTGCCACCAGTCAGTGCTGGGATAAACAGTCCATAGCCGAACTTGATGTGAGGAAACTTCATATATCCACAATCTTCACCGCTTTGCCTTCACATACAGCTGTTTCAGATGTTATGGAAAATGTAGATTCCCCGCTTTGTAAATAAGCCATGGCAAGTCTCAAGCTTGCATGCTCCCTCCTCCTCTCCCTTCTTCTCATATGCTCCAGAGGAAATTGGAAGCATCTCTTTCCACTTTTAAACAAACCGGTAGTCTCTGGTTAGGTCCCAACGTGGAGATGTGGTTTCTTTAAAATCTGTAAAAGCTCACACAAGTCAGGATTAAGCCACTGTTTCTGATCTAGGCTTGTTCATTAATTCAAGTTTAAACAAAACAAATTCATCGACTCTGAACATAAAACAGAGCACTGTGGTTTGTTTAAAACTCAAGAGGATGCTTTTGATATCCTCTTCTGGCATGCAGTAGGAGAGGGAAAGAGGAGCATGTGAGGCCAAGGCTCATTCACATAGTGGGAAACCATCCTCTAACCTCTCATTAGGCCCATTGTCAGGATTTCTGGGGATGGGGTACCGTAGTTTTGTCACAGCCATTATGGTGGAGCAATGGAGCAACAATCTCTCTATAAGCAATGCAATAAAATGTATTTTCACTCATATAATTACCCACAGGGAGTCAACATGTCCATACGATGAGAATGGCCAGATGATCAACTGACCACTTCGCCACATGACAAGCTATATGTAATGCATGTTGACTTTGCCCTTCAAAAGCACAGCTGATTTTCAGTTATGTGAGTCAACCCTTGGTATGTGCCTTTTTCCATTCCAACACCCCTCATTTCTGAATCAGAAATAATTATATCAAGACTCACCCTGTTTACATATTAAAATAAATTTCACTTTTAGGCAATCCTGAGTCAAATCCATATTTTTGTTGACAGTTTAGCATTACTATCAAAACTAAATTACTATAAAATAACAGAACAGAACTCACCGCATGCGCTGGGTTGCACTGATCTATAGGGCTCTTGAAGTCTGTCTTTAACTCATCAAATGCGATTATCTGCAAAAGAAATTTTTCAAACACTGAAATTACATTACTTGCAAACAGGTCCCGTCCCCCCACCATTAATTTATCCTCTCCTATGGAGAAAATCCATCCTTTCAATTATAATAGATTCAATCCAGATTATCTCCAAGACAACTGGCACTTGTGTCATCTGTGCATAGTCAGGCCACTAGGCATGAATTTGTTGTACAAAAATGTGAGTATGGCAGTTGTTTGAACTTCCATATCTGAGAGATCAAAACCATGGACACCTTCCCAGGTCCCAGGTACTTTCATCCCACAGACAAACCAGAAGAGCAACTGTGTCACTCAGTAGCAGCAAAAAGATCTAATGTGTGTTAGTGCCATAGAATAGGGATGGAGAGCCTGTGGCCCTCCAGATGTTGTTGGACTTCAATTCCCATCAGCCCTAGCAAGCATGGCCAAATATGGGAACTGTAGTCCAGCAGAAAAATAATAAACCCCAAAACTGGAGTGCCACAGGTTCCCCATTCTAGCTTCAGAGGCTAACTGGTCATGTCATTAGCTCTTGGTGATACTGAGGCATTTTTATCTTTAAAAGGCTTTTCTCATTATTTTACTCTGTGCTTTTGTACATGAAGATTCTTACACGTAGACAAACTGGAGTGATCTATTGGGAGGTGTGTTCTGCCCACCCAGATACATATTCCAAATATTAATACTCGTGTCAGCTTCCTGAAGTGTGTGTTCAGATCAATATGTATTTTTATGCAGCCACACTTTCACTACCTTTTCTACATGACTATTAATCTCAGTGTTCTTAACAAACAATGTGAGAATCAAATCTAGCTTCAGAGAGCAATGCTCCAAAGAATGTACCCCAGCAACCTGAGTGGACATATTACGGGCCAAAATATGTTAGGTTTTCTGGCCTCTATCCTCTACCTGGCTTTGAGGAAGACTTAGAAGGGGAGGAGGAATTGCCTAGAGAACCGTCATCCTCCACTCCAAGACTTTCCAGATCGGAGGATGTGGTATTATTGACCCTTCAGACTCAGAGGACAACTCCAATGGAGTGTACACTGCTGTACCTGTGCTTTAAGACTCAGTGGCTGAAGAATCATGCACTGGCCCTTTAAGGACCACAGATAGCTCCCAAAGGGAATGAGGTTAACAGCTGGCCCAGGCCAGACAGGCCTTCATGCTGCTCATACAACAGCTCTTCTTAGGCGAATTCCAGCCAGTTTCTCCCACAATGATCTGTCCAGGGTCCTGACAGGCTGTGCTTTGCCTTCCTTGCCTGTTGCGATTCTGAACAGCTTATCTTGACTTTATTCGTTTGGGTGTACCCCTGCCCATTCAGTAAGTAACACTCCTCCAACCCAGCCTCCCCTGGAAGTTTCGATTTGACCTAGAACAGGATGTTGACAGATGATAATTGTATGTAAGGATAATTAACCTGAACATCGCGCCCCCCCCCCCCGTTTAAATAGGTGCTGGGGGCGGGCAAACTGGATCAGAGCAATGGTGTTTGGTGGGGGTTTCATTCTTGCCCCCTACAGTGATTTTGATGAAAATCACTCCCAAGGGTCTTTTAATCCTAAGAAGCTCCTGGCACTTATGTGAGCTCACTTCCAGGGGATAATGGCAGATGGGAGAGTTTTCACTGGTATCACACGCAGCAAGTGATTCAGCTTCCCCTCATACACTCAGGCCCCGCTATCCACATCCTCACTATCATAAAAATCCACTTATCCGCACATAAAGAATTAAATAAATCTTGCAGCATGCTCTGCAGATTCAGATATCTGGACAGTCAACTTTCTTCCTTCCTTGTTTGCTTGTGCCTTGCTGGTCGGTAGCAGCCCTTTTCGGGCAGAAACCACAGAGTGGAGGGGGAGTGACATCAGATGAATCAGGGAGCAGGAGAGATCGGATAAATCAGTTTTTTCCCCTTTGGAGGTTGGGGGAGAGATTGGACAAATCCCACATTAGAAATATTTCCATAAGAAATAATTTAAATCATGGACTCGTTATGTGAATACTCACCTAACGAACAATTTCTGGCGAATGCATTCTGTTCATTAAATGGGCCCTGCATGCATACAACTAATATCATTCTTAGTTTGGCCCTAACTCCTAACTTTCACAAAAGCAGATACTTTGCTTTAACATTCAGTTCCTAGAATGTGCCAATAATTATGCGGAAATTGCCAACAGCTAGCTATCTTGTTATTCCTCCTTAAGTGGACCTTCTTGGACCTACAAATGTTAAACAATTATCATCCAATGGCTAATGGTCTCTTTTGGGGCAAGGTGCTGAAGATGGTGGTGAAGGTCCAGATTCAGGTTTGCTTGGAGGAAATTGAATATCTGGATGCATTTCAGTCTGTTTTCAGGCCAGGTCGTGGTGCTGAAACTGCCTTGATCACCCTGGTTCGTTTGTCAGATATAGGGGAGCAGCAAAAAGAATTTTTTTGGCGACTTTTGATATTGATCACAGTATCCTTCTGGAGTGGCTCAGAGAGGTTAATTAGCTTATTTGTGTTTCATATGATCTTTTATTTCATTTTTGTCTCATGAGTATGAAAGTCGTTTTCAAAACTTGGCCAAAGAAAGTGCTTTCCTTCATTAACATTTTTCCTGTTCGCTATATCTGTAGCATATTGCAAATTCTGAATCACCTAATATCTCTGTTTTTAAAGAAGTATGAGTAACATATGGGACCACACAATATGACATCTTGTTTTGCTGAGGTCATATTAAATAGTGATTCACGTTGGGCTCTTCATTCAATAATACCCTGAACCTACTGCTATTAAATTGCTTTTTGAAAAATGCAAAATACTTTAATTCCAAGTATTTTCTTATTTTATTTAAGAAAAAATATATTTTTAAAATGCAATGCTTCCCAAAGTTGTTTACACAAGCACACCTAATACATATTTTGGTAAGTGGTTTGTCAGTCTGACTAGCTGTCTATCTGAGCCAGTGTGGTGTAGAGAGGTAGACTCGTAACCTGGTGAACCAGGTTTGCATCTCTGCTCCTCCACATGCAGCTGCTGGGTGACCTTGGGCTAGTCACACTTCTTTGAAGTCTCTCAGCCCCACTCACCTCACAGAGTGTTTGTTGTGGGGGAGGAAAGGAAAGGAGAATGTTAGCCACTTTGAGACTCCTTCAGGTAGTGATAAAGCAGGATATCAAATCCAAACTCTTCTTCTCTATAGTTTTGGCCACCTCTTGAGATATCATCGTGAAACCTGGCATGAGGGTTCCCGAGATGGATGCTGGACAGCATTTTGAATCAAATGGACAAACTGAAATGTCACTTTCATTTGACTTTTGCCCATTTTCTGGTATAGGTTCAGACACCACTAGATATCATCACCAACCTCAGCATGAGGATTCCCAAGGTGGGGCTGGAGGACTTCAGTGCTGTGTAGATGCTGGGTGCCATTTTGACTCAAGATAGTGGACCAAAGCATTACTTTGGTGTGACTTCAATTTTTTGGCATAGGTTCTGCCACCTCGGGAGATATCATCGCCAAACTAGGCATGAGTATTGTGGGGGACAGCTACTGTTGTTGCCCTGGGAGTCACTGCCACCACTGTTGCAGAAGCCACCACCAGAGGGTGGTGCCACTGAGATCTCTGCAGCTGGTAATCATTTCCATCAATGATAGGTAAAGGGACCCCTGACCATTAGGTCCAGTCGTGGCTGACTCTGGGGTTGCAGTGCTCATCTCACTTTACTGGCCGAGGGAGCCGGCGTACAGCTTCTGGGTCATGTGGCCGCATGTGAAATAAAGGCAATGAAGGCTTGGCACACAGAAGCACTCATCGGGGGGAGGAGTTAAAGTGGTTGGTATATGACAGCTGTTCTGTTACTATTGGCCATATGCAGAAAAGTTTACCCAGAAAGTGTGTGTGTGTGTGTGTGTGTGTGTGTGTGTGTCTCCTTCGCAAGCCACATCATTAGTCTCTAGATTAAAGATGCCACGCCAAGGCAGCACAGTTTTTGAAACATAAATAAGAATTGACGTGATTTAAGCTCAGATATCATCAATAAAGAGGATTTGCTCTTATCATTTAATTCCTCCTGACAACAGCTCAAGCACACATGGGAAAATAAGCATTCTTTTAAAATAAGAGTCAAATGATTGCAAAAAACAGTTCTGGGAGGAATTCAACAAAGTGCTGTGCTGATCGTTCCATCAGGGCAAGCATTCCAGTTTGCCAGACAGAAAGAGCATTGTTCTGGGGATCTTCCCACCTCCAAGACCCAAGAGTTAATTTGGGGAGTTTTGGGGGGGTGAGAAGGGGAGAAGTCCCATTGCACAAGTGGAATTCTTTGCACTCATCTTCCGCTTATGGGCCTGATTAGTTGAACCCTGCCCTTTGTTTCTACTCCTGAAAGTAGATTTGAAACAACCAGCTTAGCTGATAACGTACCTTAGCTGCAGCCTGCCAGAGATCACATCCCCTGCCTCTGACTCATTTGCTTCTTACCTACCAGTGTCAGAATTAGACCCCAGCTGCAGCCTGCCACAAAGCTAGCCTCCAGGCCTGATGACAATACAGAAATGTATTAAGTACTGCGTGGACCCTCTATTTTAATTCCATTTCCAGCTAATTGCGGGAAAACAATGCCACAGCAACACTAAAGATCTCTGACTTGGAGGCAGCCATTCTTTGCATATTTAACTATGTGATACAAAACTTAAGTTTCATTCAGCTCCAAGTCCAAGCCAACAGCTACCAGCACATTCCAGCTGAGTGCTCAAAAGATACACTTGAAGGAAGCTTCCCATCTAAACCTTAGCTCCTGTCTACTATAGCTGTGCTGTATAAGATGCTGCAAATCCTAGTTGCAGGTACCCTCTTGCAAGAACTTTTTATTCTGCTTATAGAATGGGAGACTCAGGGCCAAATGAGGTGTGACATTAATTTTGTAAAGGAAATTAATGTACATAGGTTTTTAGCTGTGTAAATAGCTGGGGAAGCATGACCAGCTTCAGGGCTGGGCAGAGAAGGGGGGGGTTAACTCTTTCTCTCCCTGCACTGGTCCTGGCAAAAACAAAATGAGCAGGACTGACCTAATGAGCCCCATCTGTGCAAGACCTGTGCAAGGGAGGTATCATGAGAACCTGCAGAACACTGTGGAGGGAAAGAGGATCGTTCCACCTGGCAAACTGATAAGCTTGTGCAGATGGAACGCTGGTCTTAGCGTGACGCTGAATTTCACCCTCTATTATTATTAATGACCTGCCACATATGTATCTCAAGGCAATGTACAAAATATAATATTGCTTTCCTGAAGCTGCTGTCTGAATCTTAAGGATAGTTTGCATTGGCACCAAAATGGAGGCTCCCCTTAGAAATGAAAACAGCAGCTTTGGAGGGGTGATTTTATCAACACCATACAAGCGAAATAAGTAAACTTTCCCTCTCCCTACCACCCCAACCTTACCCTGCCAGGCTGCTCAGGCTTCCCTATGACTTCTATTTTCATAACAAAAAAAGTGCACTCTAGTTTCGCTTAAAGAGTAAGTTACATATGTCATGCAAATCCATGTAAAACAGCCTCAATGACCATTGTTTCTGAAGAAAAGCACGTTTGGAAGGGACTTTTTAGCAGAGAAAAGGTAGTGAATAGACAGTGGCTACTTAACGCTTTCCACACGAGCTTTCTTCCTGCTCCAGATCTCCAACCTGCTTTTTTCATCCAAATGCTTATTTTCTTGCTTTTCAAAACTCTTGGGGGTAAGCAGTGGGGGAAACTCTATGAGTGGGATGAAAGGCTGGTGGAGAAAGGAACAAGCACCCTCCTTGTCATCCATCATTTCACTCAAAACAGGTCCTTTCCAAAATTCATTTTTCTCTGAGAAGCTAGCCTTTGTGCTGGCAACAAACACATTTCCATGTAATGTGCAGATTTTGCCTTGATTTATGAACATACTGACCACACGGACTTCACACCCCACTCCTTAACACCAGTTGCATGTCCATGTAGAATGAGGCTCCAGATTAAGCATCCTTGTGACATACAGTTCAATGATTCTGTAGTTTCATTGCCTATTTCAACAGAACAACAATTGGGGAGGTATTTATAGATGTACATATTCTTCTAGACAATGACAGCTTTGAATACAGAAGGTATGAGATGAGCAAGAGGCTGTGCTTCATTCGATTTCCATTTCCTTGAAAAGAAATAGAAAATTGTTTGGGCTTGTTCAAGTGGCATCAATCGAGGACCTGTGTTTTAGGGACTTGTGTTTCTGGGTTCAGAGAGGAATATCTTTGTGTTGGATGTGTTGATTGTGTTATTCATATCAAAGGGTTCTGAAAGTAATGTTGTTTGCATCGCCTCTATTGTCCGGTTTGATCCATGTGATTTTGGATGGACAAAGGAACATTTAAAAAATAAAAGAATGCAAAACTAAGTGCAGAGTGGTACACTGGAAAGCCCAGAATGGACGAAAATTGATTTAGCTAAAGGAATAAGATGCTAATGAATGCTTTGGAGCTAAAGTGTCTTTATATTGCGAATTATAGTCACTAAAACTAAATGGGGTAAAAGGACAATGGTTGTCCTATTCATCCAGTGAAGAGGCAGAATGAGTTCAGTGTGGCTGCCCACCACAAGGATCGCTACAAAGAAAGGCAGCTGGACGGATAAAATATATTCCCTTTAAGACAGATTAGAGTGTATGCAGCCATGCTGATTCCATTTCCTGCAGAGACTGTCCACAAGAGTGCCAATTACAGCTGAACAGCATAGTGAGTATCTGTCCATTTTGGATAAGTTTGCAGTTTGATGGCATTGGAATCCATCTGGAATTCCACGATAAAAAGGTTTCAGTCTGTGCAACAACGGGAAAGCCAAAGCAGTGTGAAAAGGCAGAGCTAACTATGGCAAGCTGCAAGTAGATTTTATTTCTCATAGCCAACATTTCTACAGCACTTTCACTGCTAGGGCACAACACACCGAAAATTGTATTTCTCCCCAAAGTATCATCATATATATTTATTCCCAGAAAGGTGACTACGTTAGCAAATACAACAAAGAGATCTGACATTTTAAAGACTAGAAATATATGATGGCATAAGCATTTGGGGTCCAGAGTCCACTTTATCAGCTGTATCTTACAACTGATGAACTAGACTCTCATCTATAACATTCTTTGCTGTTTTCACATATGTATGGCTTTCCTTTGCGGGGTTGGGGTGAGAAATTAAGACATCCTATTCTTCATAGTTTATGACTGAATATAGGGATATTCTGAATATGTGATCACAAAGAACAGCTTTCCTATATCTGTACTACCAGTATCTGGTTTTTGTCCATTAAGACTCATTGATTTATAAGCCTCACACTTTTTCTCATCAGGTGGGCTATAGGGTTGTGACTTCAAATCCCGAAGTCTTCCCACCTGTTAGAGAAGAGGTTGCATCTTTGGCAGGGTCTCTAGCTCAGTGGAAGTGTTGGTACAGGAGAAAATTATGGCACAGAAAGGAGAATTCCTGGATGCCAAGAACCAGGTTTGGGGCAAGTACTCTTTGGCAAGAGAACCTCAGCAGAGATTTAAAATCACAAAACATGGAGCAAAGTAAAGCATGGAAATATAGTCTGTTAGATTTTTAAAATATGCCCTTTAAAATAAGTTCCAAAGTTTCCCTCTTCCCTGAGCATAGAGAAAGACCACACGATTGGTAAGTTAAAAATGGTTTACTTACAAACCCTCTGAAGGTCTGACTCATGTGCTTTTCCATACAGCATTCAGAAAAAGTTGTACAGGCAGTAAAACTTGGCTTAGGTACAAATTGGTGAAATAAACTATTGGTATGGGAACTCAAGAGTGGCTTGTGAGGGCCATGCGCTCTGAGCTGGAGCAATCAGCTCAAGCTTCTTCATACACTAAGTTTCTCAGGTAGACTGGGCAAGAATGATAGGCCTGATTACCTAGTTCCTCCCAAGGTGAGGGGAAGTGATCTCACTAAGCCTGGCAGGACAGCTTACTCTATGGTATTAACTCCTTCATGCATTAATTAGAGTTAAGACTGGAAAGCCTTTGATAATATTTCTTGGAGTTTCATGAAGAAAAATCTTCAGGGGATGGGGGTTGGTCAAGGGTTTGAAAATGGTATAAGTGCAATTTACTCAGAACAAAAGGCCAAACTAATAGTTAACAATGTGGTGACAGAGGAATTTAAGATAGAGAAAGGGACACGACAAGGCTGCCCAATTTCCCCATTGCTGTTTATTTCGGTCCTGGAGGTTTTGCTAAATATGATCAGAAGGGACCGTCTGATTAAAGGTATACAGGTCGGAGCTAAACAGTACAAATTGAAAGCTTTTGCAGATGATTTAGTATTGACGTTACAGGAGCCAGAATCTAGTACTTAAAGAGTATTAGAATTGATTCAGGAATTTGGTCATGTGGCAGGATTTAAGTTGAACAAGTTAAAAACTAAGGTGCTTGAGAAAAATTTAACACCGATTGAGAAAGAGAGGTTTCAGAAGGAGACAGGTTTAACATTGGTTAAGAAAGTAAAATACTTGGGGGTTAACATGACTGCTAAGAATTTAAACCTATTTAAAGACAATTATGAGAAATGTTGGTCAGAAGTGAAAAAGGATTTAGAGATATGGTCAAACCTGAAGCTTTCCTTGTTAGGACGAATTGCTGTTATAAAGATGAATGTATTGCCAAGAATGTTATTTCTGTTTCAATCATTGCAAATCTTGGACAAGATGGACTGTTTCAAGAAGTGGCAGAGAGACATTTCTAGATTTGTCTGGCAGGGCAAGAAGCCCAGAATAAAATTTAAAATATTAACCGATGCAAAGGATAGAGGTGGATTTGCCCTGCCAGACCTTAAACTTTATTATGAATCAGCAGCATTCTGCTGGTTGAAAGAATGGCTGCTTCTTGAGAACACAGACATTTTGGACTTAGAAGGTTTTAATAATGTTTTTGGGTGGCATGCATATTTGTGGTATGACAAGGTTAAAGCACATAAAGCATTTAAAAACCATATTGTCAGGAAAGCATTGTTAAATGTCTGGATAAGATATAAGGACTTACTTGAAAACAAAACCCCAAGGTGGTTGTCACCGATGGAAGCAAAGGCTCAGAAAAGGCTCAATATGGAGGCCAAATGGCCGAAATATTGGGAAATTTTGGAACAGGAAGGAGACAAACTGAAATTGCAGAGTTTTGAGAAATTAAAAGACAAAGTGCGAGACTGGCTTCATTATTATCAGATAATGGAGGCATACAATTTGGATAAGAAAATTGGTTTCCAGGTGGAAAAATCAAAATTGGAAACAGAACTGTTAGAACCCAAAACTAAGATTTTGTCAAAAATGTATAACTTGCTGTTGAAATGGAATACTCAGGATGAAATGGTGAAATCTGCTATGATTAAATGGGCACAAGATCTTGGACATAATATTATGTTTGCTGACTGGGAACAGTTGTGGACCACAGGTATGAAATTTACGGCATGTAATGCCTTAAGAGAGAATATTATGAAAATGATATACAGGTGGTACATGACACCAGTCAAGCTTGCAAAAATCTACCATTTGCCCGATAATAAATTTTGGAAATGTAAAGAAAATGAAGGTACATTCTTTCACCTTTGGTGGACGTGCCCAAGGATCAAGGCTTTCTGAGAGATGATATATAACGAATTGAAAAAGGTATTTAAATATACCTTCTTGAAGAAACCAGAGGCCTTTCTCCTGGGCATAGTCGGCTGATTGGTGCCAAAGAAGGACAGAACTTTTTTTATGTATGCTACTACAGCAGCAAGAATTCTCATTGCAAAGTATTGGAAGACACAAGATCTACCCACCTTGGAAGAATGGCAGATGAAGGTGATGGACTATATGGAATTGGCGGAAATGACTGGCAGAATCCGAGACCAGGGAGAAGAGTCGATGGAAGAAGAATGGAAAAAGTTTAAAGACTATTTACAGAAATATTGCAAAATTAATGAATGTCAGAATGATGTTGGATAGAAACTAAGTGGTCTTTAGCCGAAATGTTATAAGGGAATATGAAAAAAAATGGTTTATTAATAGGTAAAAATTTAAAATTACAAATACTTTATGATTAACGATTAGGATACATAAAGAGGGGAGGGATTTGTTGAACTAATAACTGAATTGGAATACAAAAAAGGGAGGTGTGAGGAGGTTCTGGAAATAAGCAAATGAAGGCTAAGAAACGGAAGGAAGGAATTGTTTTTAACTGTTTTTATTTTGTATTTTTCTTTTTTTTTCTTTTTTTGTCTTGTAATATTCTGAAAACCTTAATAAATATCTTATAAAAAAAAATAATTAGAGTTAAGACTGTTGGTTATATGAGGCTGGTTGTCTCACACGAAGTACACCTGCTTTGCATAACCACATCCCAGACTCAGTTTCCAAATTAAAAAACCTCTCATATCAGAGCTGGGAAAGAGACCAGACAGCCTCCATCAGTTAAGAGTAGACAACACTGGACTAGATGGACCAATGATCATCCTCTATTTGAGGCAGTTTCACATGTTCATCTTGTTCTAATGACAGTAACCACAGCAACAGGAAGCTACCAAACCACCCATCATCAATGCCAGGCTAAACATTTCAAGAAATATATGATTGGATTTCATGGATCTAAATAGCAGTTTGGGGGCGGGGGGCAATCAGAACTGCAGCATGCAGGGAGATGGAGCTTAGCATTTCCCCCCCACACTGAAATTCTACTGCAAATCACACTCCAAGCTCGTTTGCCACAAAAGGAAAACTGCTATTGGCACTAATTGGCAGTTCACAGATCACGTTTATGTTTTCGCCCATTTATGGGATTCCTTGCCCTTCAACAGGTTTATTTTGTCCAGCGCATCAGTTCATCTACAGACTGTTTACATGAACCTGATTTAATGAACTTTATTTGTGGAGAATGGAAGTTAGTAAGATTGTCAGGTCACACTCAAGATGTGTTTTGAGGTTTTATTGTTCCTTTAATACTTTGCCTGGAGCAGTCCAAAGTGGCTGGAACAACCCAGTCAGATGGGGGGCATCTTCCTCCTCCTCCTCCTCCTCCTCCTCCTCCTCCAGATATTGAAGGAACTATAGCCCACAGCATTCCTGGTCACTGAATGTGCCAGCTAGGACTGACTGGAGTTGGAGAAGGGCCACAGCTCAGGTCCCAGATTCAGTCACTGACCTCACCAGGAAGGGCTAGAATGTCCTCTATCCGAAACCCTGGAGAGCCACTGCCAGTCAATGTGGATCAGGGGGAGGGTTTTTTGCAACACATGGCCTGAGAACCACTTGTGGCCCTCAAGGCCTTTTTTGGCAGCCCTTGGCAACATTTGGGATCTCCAGCCCTTGCACTGCCTTCCCAAAGACTATTTAGTGCTTTCCAAGTTTTGGGGAAGGAGCTGAGAGAGCTCTAGGATGCTGCCAGAGCATTGCGCCTCCTTCCCAAAGCCCTACGGCTCACTTATCTAACTTTTGGAAGGAAGTGCAAGAGCTGTGGGGGGCATCAAATGTTGGTCTTAAACCACCCCCTCAGACAAGGTAGTGTGTGGCCCATGGGTTCCAAGTCTTCTTGCAGTCCACTTGGAAAGAAAAGTTGGGCTGCCCTGATGTAGACAGTACGGAGCTAGATGGACCAATGGTCTGACTTGGCTGAAGGCAGCTTCCCATGTTCCTATGAATACAACAACATCTGGAAGCCACAGGTTGCCCTGTTGGGATACTGCCAGGGAGACAAAGTCCATCATGCCCCCATGCCGATGCCGGACGACCCATCGATCTCCCGTAGATATGCAGTATCAGTCAATTAGCGACACAAAGCCTCAGAAATAGCTTGCCAGAGCTCGTGCACACTCTATCAGCAGAGTTCGCACAACGAAAGATGCACTCAGGAGAGCATATTTACAACTTTATTCAGCGTTGGTCAGAACAAAGAAAAAAACATGACTGCCTGCTTTGATGTTCAGGCACAGAGAGAGAAAACGAAAGCAATGTACAAAACATAAACTTCCTGTGAACAGGAAATACACAGACTCTGTGACTCACAAAGCCTGCTCCCTTTTAAGGTGGAACGGAAATATCCTAACATCCTCCCCCTTTCCGTGTAACCTGTAGTACCTGTGGTTCAACCCAATTGCAACCTCTGTACGTAAACCTTAAGTTGTTCTCTGTTAACTACCTTAGACAACAGATCAGCAGGAATTTCATTTCCTGCCATGTAGGACACCTGAATGAGTCCTTTCTGAATACACTCTCTTGCACGATGTAGCTTAATCTGCAAGTACTTGGTTCTTTGCTTGCAACTCTCTGAGTTCAGCAAAGCCAAACAGGATCTATTGTCTTGATACACTTGTATAGGACATTTCACAGAAACTCTGATGTCCTTAAGCAGTTGCATCAACCATTCACAATCCATGAGTGAAAATGACAGAGCATTGAGTTCTGCTTCACAGGAACTTAGGCTTACTGTCGTCTGCTTCCTGCACAGCCAGTCAAACAGACAGTGGTTGTACATGTAGCATACTCCAGAAGTGCTTGTACCATCCGTGGTGTCACTTCCAAAACTAGCATCTGCAAAGATTTCAAGACCTCCAGTCTTCTGACTGGTGAACCTCAGCCTGTAGTGCAAAGTCCCTTTCAAATAGCAGGCTATGCGCTTCAGAGCTTTCCAATCCTGAACAGTAGGATTGTTGGCATGTCTGCTAAGCAGGTTAGTGCTTACAGCTATGTCAGGTCTTGAACATTTAGCAATGAAATTCAACTTGCCTAGAATGCATCTGTACAGCGTAGTGTCAGAAAACGCTTCAACAGTACTATCTACCTGGTAACCTGTCACCATCGGTGTGTCTGCTGGGTTTGCATCAACCAAATTCAACCTGGTTAATACACCAGCAATTTTCTGTGTTTGGTGTACCAGAAAATTACCTGCTTGGTCCCTCTCCACCTGCAGAGAAAGATAGTTGGATACCTCACCTAGATCCTTCATGTCAAAGTGCTCCTTCAACTGAGCTAGGGTGCTTTGGTACAAAGCCTGATTCTTCCAAAACATCAGAAGATCATCAACAAAACATAAACAATAGTTTGTTTTGCCCCACCACCTTGACAAACACACATGGATCAGCTTTGCCCTGGTGAAAACCTAGAGAAAGCAACGTCTCAGTGAGTTTTGTGTTCCAACACGTGGCACTCTGCTTGAGACCATATAAGGATTTCCGAAGTTTACAGACCATTCCCTTCTGTATCTGCATTCCATCAGGTGGAAGCATAAACAGCTCCTCCCCCAAAACCCCGTACAAAAAAGCTGTATTAATGTCGTGATGGGAAACATGCAGTTTCTCCTCTGCAGCAATCTTGAGCATCAGCCGAATGCTCTCATACTTGACGGTGGGTGAGTAGGTCTCGTGGTAATCCTGTCCTGGTACCTGTGAAAAACCTCTGGCAACCAATCTGGCTTTGTCTCTGACAACCTTGCCATTCTGGTCTGTCTTGGCCTTGAAGACCCATTTGCTGCCAACCAGTCTCATTCCTGGGACAACCGGTACCAGTTCCCAAGTTTGGTTCCTATTCAAGGAATCAACTTCAGCCTTCATGGCATTAAGCCAAGGCTCAGCATCTTTAGAGGTTAACTCCTGAACCTCTTTGAAGCTTGAAGGTTCCCATACCTTCTCTGAGCTACTAAGAACAGCAGTTGCCATCTTAGCAAATTCATCAGCAAATCTCTTTGGAGGTCTGCCTTTGGTGGCCCTTTCAGATCTGCGTACTATACGCAAGTCTTCTTCACTCATCTCCTCTTTCTTAGGAGAAAAGTGACCAATGGTGAACAGTGGTTCTTCCAGTTCATTGTCAGACGCGTCAGATGGTCTGACTGAGGCCTTTGCGCTCTAGTAGTCTGCTGTGTCATCACTGTCGCTGACATCAGCAGCAGCGCCGCCCACTGAGCTGGAATCCGAACTCTGATCATCATCATCATCATCAGCTTCCTCTTCTACCTCAACATCATCTGCTTTTTTCACATCACCTTCATCTTCCTCTGGGTAACTCTGGAAAATTCCCACATTTTCCCCCCACTTAGGATTGTACTCAACACTCTTTGTGAACTTAATGGACTTAGAGTCAGTCATCCATACCCTGTATGAACCTTTTTCGTACCCCATGAACAAACCATGTGCCCCACGCTTCCCAAGCTTGTTGCTCTGTGGGGTGTGTACCCACATGTCAGAACCAAAGATTCTCATGTGCTTGACGTAAGGTTTCTTACCAAACATCTTCTCATAGGGAGTACAACCAATAGGTGATGACAGTCTCCTGTTATAGGAATAAACGAACTTGGACAAAGCCTCCCCCCAATACTTCTCAGGGAGATTGGCATCATGCAACAAGGTTATTAGGCCTTGAAGCAATGTCTGGTCAGCAACTCCATTCTGCCATGGCGATCTAGGCGTTGAGAGGTCACGCTGGATTCCCTTCTCAGTCAGGAAAGCTTCAAACTGCTGAGAAGTTAACTCCCCGCCTCGATCAGTAAAGAGACAGCCGATACGTTTACTGTGAGCATTCTCCAACCAAGCACAGAATGCCTTGAACCTAGGAAACGCTTGCGATTTCTGCTCGAGCATAAACACATGAATGTACCTGGGAAAAGAATCAATTACAACCATGAAGTACCTTGCTCCACCCAAAGAGGGCACAAGTGGACCAACCAGGTCTGCGTGGACTAGCTGGTAGGGTTTGGAGGCCTGCCTGCTAGACTCCTTGCCTTTTGGAGCAACCTTCACCTTGTTCTCTGCACAAGATACACATTTCATGTGAAAATTACAGGGCTTGATGTTCAAACCCTGAACCAACTCAGGCATCTTGGCCAGTGCCTGCCAAGACATGTGAGCAAACCTTCTGTGTGCCTCGTGAATGCATCCTGCATGAAGAACTTTGTTAGTTTGTGCAACACAACAAGAATCAACAAGGTTAAGGGGTCATATGATAGCCATGTTCAAATATATAAAAGGATGTCACATAGAGGAGGGAGAAAGGTTGTTTTCTGCTGCTCCAGAGAAGCGGACACGGAGCAATGGATCCAAACTACAAGAAAGAAGATTCCACCTAAACATTAGGAAGAACTTCCTGACAGTAAGAGCTGTTTGACAGTGGAATTTGCTGCCAAGGAGTGTGGTGGAGTCTCCTTCTTTGGAGGTCTTTAAGCAGAGGCTTGACAACCATATGTCAGGAGTGCTCTGATGGTGTTTCCTGCTTGGCAGGGGGTTGGACTCGATGGCCCTTGTGGTCTCTTCCAACTCTATGATTCTATGATTCTATGAACATTAGACACAGCAACAGCATTGTCATCATAAGTTATACAGAACAAACCATCCATAAACTTTGCATGCAAAATGTCCTCTTTGCCTTTCCTGATGACACAGATGCTCCTCTTGAAGGAAATCTCAAAGCCACGCCCAGTCAGCTGTGGGACACTGAGCAAATTGTCTGCAGCACCTGGAACATAAAGTACATCTCTGATGGTAGTGTGCAGACTTGCCAGTTTCACAGTCCCAACTCCTGCAATTCGCAACGTCCTTCCATCAGCCTGGTGGATCTCACCATCTTGGGGCGTGAAGGAGATAAATAGATGTTTATCTTTTGCCAGATGGCAGGTGCATCCCGAATCTACAACAAATCTGGCTTTGGCCTTTGGAGCAGCTTTTCCAGCAAGCAAAACCTTGTCTTCCACCGGCTTTGGCTGCTGCTTGCCCCCCTGCTCCTGGCCATCAGACTTGTCTTTAGCCTTTGGTGAAGCTGTGCCAGCAAACAAAGCCTTGTTTTTCCCTGGCTTGGGCTTTCCACCCCCCTTCTGCATTTGGCCATCTGCAGGCTTCTGTCTCTGTTTACTTCTGGCCTTCCGGTATCTGTGAGGATGACCTTGGCTCCCATGAGAAACAGAGCTCTCAGTTGCCTACTCCTTGGCTCCCCCGGAGGCTGGAATGCTGCCTGGGATGACATCACAGTCAGCTCCCCCTGCAGCTTGCAACCGGTGCCCTCGGCATCCCTGCATTCACTCACATTCTGGGAAACAGCCAGGACCTCCGATGCAGTCAAACTCTGGGCTGGGATGACCGGCAGATGGGCTACTTTCAAAGCATTCCACATCTTACGTGCTGTCGTGTTGCCAGCCAGTATTGATATATCCTCCAGAGAGACGGATAAGACTATTACGTCTATGGCCCTTGAATCTTGGGCCCTCCATCTATCTGTCAGAGGAACAGGAGGGGCTTCACACACAGTATGCCACACTCCAAACTGTCGTAGCAAGCTCTCACAGCAACTTGCCCAAGTCTCATAATTGTGGCCATTTAGCTTTGGGCACTGAGCAGCATCTGAGGCTTGTAAAAACTCCATCCCAGGTTTTTACTTGAGCCGTGAGTCTTATTTCCTTCAAAGACTTCTTATCTCGGCAGCTCATAAATCTTGAAGCCTGTTTGGCTCGACTCCCAGTCCAATTAGCCAGCCGGACTTCAAAGAGACTCTGCCGCGGCAACGAAAAGCCTTTGTTTTCGCTTTTTCCCACATACCTCACAGCAGTCTGTCGCAGTCTTACTCTCCTGTAAGTGCCGTGAATCTGGGCCCGAAACCTGTTGTTGGGATACTGCCAGGGAGACAAAGTCCATCATGCCCCCACGCCGATGCCGGACGATCCAGCGATCTCCCGTAGATATGCAGTATCAGTCAATTAGCGACACGAAGCCTCAGAAATAGCTTGTCACATTCCAGAGCTCGTGCACGCTCTATCAGCAGAGTTCGCACAATGAAAGATGCACTCAGGAGAGCATATTTACAACTTTATTCAGCGTTGGTCAGGACAAAGAAAAAAACATGACTGCCTGCTTCGATGTTCAGGCACAGAGAGAGAAAACGAAAGCAATGTACAAAACATAAACTTCCTGTGAACAGGAAATATGCAGACTGTGACTCACAAAGCCTGCTCCCTTTTAAGGTGGAACGGAAATATCCTAACATGCCCACCCCTGCTTTAAAGCTACCAATTAAAGCAAAAGACTTGCACCCACTGGTTTCTCCATCCTGCTTCATCTTCCTTTGTCCTTTAATTTGCCTTTTCTGCCTGCCTGATGCAGCAGCCAGGGAAGGGAGGTTAATGAGGAGCAGAAAAGGAATGGGCAACAGAAACTATAGGTTCTTTGTTGGTAGCTTTTAAAGGGTCAAAGACAATCTCTTGATTGTGACCTGGCATATTTGAAAGGGGTGCCTAACTCAATGTGTAACTCACCCTCCCCCCCTAAAAAACAACAACAAACCACTGGTTGATTCAAAGCTGAACTTACAGTACTATCAAATCTTAGTTTCATTTCTATTATTGTTATTATTATTATTGAAATGCAGCAGGGATTTCATCTTCAGCCTGGGAAAGAAATAAAGCCAAGCTTTAGCCCAAGAGATAAGGAAGGCTAGCGATAAGCAAGCTTCCAACTTCAGTCTCCCTTCGGTGCCAGCCTAAGAGGGGATGTTTGATACAGCTGTAATCTCTTTCTGTGCATCAAAGTCTCAGTCCTATTGGAATTTACATAGATAGAGCAGGTGTGATGCTTAATCCTCTGAGATAGTCAGAAGTGAGCAATCATTCCATAATGTTCCACTTATCAAATCAAAATTACATAGAGCTTTATGTCCATGAATCATTTTATACAAGCAGCCAAATGGGTTCTTTTCCTGCAATTTGTTCTTTTCTTAAAGTGAGACTGAATGGTTATCACTTTGTTTAGACTGAGTGCATGGAAAGGGAGGAAGATGAAACAAAAAGGAACAGAAGATGGAAGTAGTTCTTAAAATCTGAAGGGGGAGGCAAATCTAGCGCTAGCACCCAATGTGATATTCTTAATATCATGATATGAAAAAATAAGGAGCTTATATTTAATAGAAGAACACTGCAAGAGGCATCATTTGCCTTCTTATTGAGTTAGTTAATATAATGCATAGATAGATGCATGCTATATACTATATGTTGATGATCAGTTCATGTTATATCTAAAGCACAATTAGTATCAAAACAAATTGATTTCATTCATAGTCTGCAATTAATTCTGCATCCAATGTCCGTTAATGACAATTGCAGCACAAAGAGTACCTCCCCTCCTTTTAAATTATAGACCTCGTCATTCTATATTCAAAACAGTTAGACATCTATAATATCATACATTGAGGAGACCAATAGCCACTTACCACAATGAGTGTAGAAATTGTCCCCCTAACATACAGTGGATAGATTTAGAGTTTGGCCCAACTGAGTGACAGAAGTCCCTTCACAATGAAGGGACAAAGTCTCCACACATCTATGCAATTAATTTAGCAATTTTGTGCATGTATACAGAAAATGAATTGTATATGAGATTACCATTTGAAAGCAAATGTTCACAATGAAAGTTACATTTTTTAAAAGCTACAGAATCGAACAATATTAATTCCTAATGCAACCCTACAGGGGCAGATTAGATCCATAAACTTTAAATACTGGTAAAATTATTTTATTTAGTTGTGCATTTTGCTTTAGAGCCAGATCGTATGCAGAACTCCAGCAGCATTATACCGTAACAGAACTACAGCCAAACTCTATCAATGATCTTTTCCTCTCTCTTTTTTTAACTACCTGCCTTTAAAACCCAGCAGGCTCCCTAATCTCAGAAACAGTCATCCTTCCATTAGCCAGATGGGTAGATTAGCCCGTTCTTCAGCACAGCACTGGTTGTTTAGTTTCTTGCTGTTCTCATAGACAACTTAACTGTTACATGCCTGGTACACTAACACTTTAGCATCCATTATATATAATAAGAAATATAAGAACTCTGCTGGATCAGACCTAAAGCCTATAGCTGGCATCCAGTTTCTTGCATCCAGTTCCTCTTGCTATCATTCCACAGTAATTGGTATTCAGAGGCCTCCTGCCTCTGGTTCTGCAGGTAGCATATAAGCATCACGACTGGTAGCTATTGATAGGCTTAACTTCTCTGTGGTGGTGTAATTTAAGCATCTAAAGGTACAATCCTATGCTCAATTTGTAAGCATCAGCACAGGTCAGCGTGAGGGTTTACCAGGGTGCTTACAAACTGATGTCAACTGAGGGCTATAGGATTTCACAAAAGCCCCAACACACCAGCAGCCCCAATACACTACTGCCTTGACATCCCAGATACAATGGCAGAACAATCCATTGGCACAGCTGTACAATCAAGAAATAGAAGCAGGATGAACAGGTAGTTTAATGTTTTCTTAACATGCACAAACTTACAGTAGCTCTTGAGGCACACTAAACATGCACACACGTGCTTCTGGTAGCTGAGGAGCTAGTAGCCGTCCTTGGGCTTGTGTTCCTATAAGCAACAGGATGACAGTGCCTACACCCCCCAAAATTAAGTGCCCTCATCTGACAGCACAAGCTCAAGCAACCTGTGACTTCGGCATGGAAGTTGTCACTGTGCCTGCCTCTTCAAGCCCCTCCTGGTCTTGGATGACAGTGAGGAAGGGGACAGAGGGCCCCATCCCTTCAGGCACTGTCTTTCCCTCAGCTCCTGGAATGTCCTGCCCTTTCTCCACTGACTGCTCAGACCCCTCCTCATCTTCCAGCTCTGGCTCCTGCCCCGAGGGAAGCACAAAACCCCATAAATGGCTACCTGCTTCCCCCGGATTAGCCTCTGGCCCTGTTACCTCTTGCACCCACTCCTCAGAGCCCTGCCAGTCCCTGACGGGAATGGTGGAGAAGAATCCCATTCCTACGTCTAAGCATGATCTGGCTTTAGCTGGACTCTGATTCTGATATCCAAACAGCCTCTCTGTCTAACCGACTACACAGGGTGGTTGTGGGGACAGAAACTGGGGAGATTACGTACTTCACCTTGAGCTCCTTGGAGCAAAGGCAAGATGTAAATGCAACTGTGTTTGCCGAGTCCACAATACATACAAAACAAATGCCATGGCATTAAGTCCCACACAAAATGTTGTGGTAGTAGCAAGTCCCAGTTCTGAGTAATGCACCAGCAATTGTTAGATTCAGCTCTTCTTATCCCACAATTGCCTGGTGCTCAAATTGCCTGGTGTTTCCTCCCTCTATTTCCTGCTTTAAGCGCATGAAGTATCGGCAGGTGGAGTTCTGCTTATAGGAGAGGATTCTGACTTGTAATTTGCAATGAACACTGAGGCAACTAGCACAAAAGTGTTTTTCTCTAATGGCTCACTATATGCTAAAGAGAACATGAAGGCATTTCAGATTCTAAAATGAAAGCCTTTGCCTCTACTATTGGCTACTTCAGTTAGGAAGCTCCCCACAGATGGCTTAAGCAAGCTTCAGGGCTGCCCAGCTTCTCTCCAAAGACCTCGGGGCAACATTGGGCTCCTAGTCCCTCTTGGGAGCATTTGCTGAATTTTGGGTAAGGAGCAATTAGTGTCTAAGACATAAAACTAAAAATAGATGAGATTTTTTTTTAAAACCCCACAAAAAACCTTAATATAGCCTAGCACAACCAACATTACCAGTCACTTTAGAATTCCCAAAGGGAAAAAAATCATATTTTTTCCTCCAAGAGTTGTCTAAAAATACTGGTAATTGGTGACCTATTTTCAAATTAAATGGAAGGGGGGGGCTACCATCATTACTTATGTGCACAGGACTGAATCGCTGGATCACAACCAGAGAATGTTTGCTGCTGTATTTTTATTAATTAATTAAATTTCAGGATTTCAGGACTTCTAGTTTTTTTATAGAAGGGAAGGGTTGTTTTTAATATGTACAGTATACTGTATATTAAAAGCACTCTCCTGTTGTATCCATTTGCTTGAATTTAGTTTATTCTAGATGGTTTTCACAATTGAATTACGTATCTGTAATTCAAATGTAAAACATAGGCTGGACAACATAATAGTTCAGCAGGGTCCCCCCCCCCCACCTCATCCTCCAGAGAACTTCCAGCAGTTTGAAAAAGAAAACACTGCACTCATCTCATTTTTGTCTCTGACTAGGGTTGCCATATTTCAAAAAGTGAAAATCTGGACAGAAAAGTTGTAGGTTTTTTTGTTTTGTTTTGTTTGGTTGGGTTTTTGAAAAAGCCGAATCCGAAAGCCGAATCCCGGCTATGTCCAGGAAATTCTGGACGTATGGCAACCCTACCCCTGACAAACAGCCCTTGCCGGGGCTTGGCATTGGTCTTTAAACTAGCAAACCCTGCCAGAGGCAACAGTGGGACAAAAGAAGTGCACATGTACAGCACTGGAAGGGAAGGTCTCTCAAATCACTTCCAGCTCTTAAAAACTATTGTATGTCTCCAGTCTTTCCTGGTTCCAATGTACTGGACCCCATCCACCTCTAGTCATGGCAAATCATCACATGTTAATGTGGGGATCCACATCAACAGCCGTATCCAGCCAGTTCAATTGTCCCCTGGCAGATATCATGAAGTAGAAAGGTGCGCACACACCCATATGTGCGCTTGGCATCTGTAGGCAGATCTCCCTTCTGGATTGGAGCAATTGTCTTCATCTTCTCTGCGTAAAGAAACTGGTTAATGGCCCTGCTGGAGTGGAATCAAACTTTCTTTCCCAATAGTCTTTTCTCTATATAGTTCAGATCCTTTGCAACTGTCCCACCTACACCCAATATGTCCCTGTTTAATATCGTCGTTTTTCTGTTATAGACACAAATTCGCTTTACATGCCAGGTAGGCATATTTCAAGGAAGAAGAAGCAAATAAGCCGTGGTTACATTTCTCAACAGGATGCGATGAAGAACCTTCTGCATGGCTGAAACACTAGCAATAACCAATCTATAGAAAGCTGGGAAACCAGGAAAATAAAGGACATTCACAGTGTAACTTTAAGCAAAGAGTAACAGATGGGAAAGCAGAAGAATTGGGGGAAGAGGGGGACTTTGTTCAACAGGAAAAAGCAAAAATCTCAGGATATGTATAAGCAAGAGAGCCACAGTTATCTCCAGGCATGGGCCAATTTTGTTGCCTACTCTCCTTATTACACAGCTTTGTGCTTCTGAGATAAAACAGCTTTTTTCCGGCAGTTTCCTCTATATTTGAATTTTGTTGCCCACTCCCTCATGATAAAGCTTTGTGCTGCTGTGATACAAAACGGCTTTTTCCTTTTTAGAGGAAGCAGCATCTTTGAATTTAATATTTCAAAAATGCTATGTAACGTGATGGTAGCTTGCCCTACACTCTGTCAAGTGGCTAGCTTGCTTAATGCAGCTTGATTAAATCTTTTATTCTGTCAAATGCCTAAGAATATCTCCTGTACAGTGATTAGCTTGTCTGCTCTACCTAAATGTCCTATCACTTACAGTGCCAGAGTCAAAATGCTTGTTTAAAAAAAGAAAAGAAAAACGGATACTGTACTAGCATGATATGCCTTTGTCTGTCACTTACTCAGAAATATCACATAGTACAGCCCCTCCAGGACAGAACCACTTCAGAAGGCTCTCCTACCTCTTTCTCTTTCAATAATCCAACAACGCCGCTATGAGACTAGAGATAAAGGACAAGCCAGCTATTGATGCACTTGTTTCACCATGAGCAGCTTACACAAAACTGGCGAACCCAATGTGTTGTGCACAGGGTTGCCCCTCTTTCCTTTGAGTTAAGAAGGGGAGAAGTGAGTTGCACTCACAGCAGTGGTTGCAGGAGTAACAAGGCAAAGGTCAGTGGTACCTCCAGTTATGAGCTTAATTTGTTCCGAAGGTCGGTTCTTAACCTGAAACCGTTCTTAACATGAGGCATGCTTTTGCTAATGGGGCCTCCCGCTGCTGCTGCCGCCGCCGCACAACTTCTGCTCGCATCCCGGGGCAAAGTTCACAACCAGGAGCATCTACTTCCAGGTTAGTGGAGCTCGTTACCCGAAGCGTTTGTAAGGAGGATGGTACGTAATCCGAGGTTCCACTGTAGCTGCTAAAATATGGTTGCCATAGATTAGCACCCAAAGCCTCCCACTCCTACTGAAGACCCCAGTAGTACATTCTCCCCTGGTGAAAAGGAACAAGAAAGAAGAGTGTGTGCATTTTCTGAAAAAATATGAAAATAACCTCTGTTTAGCACACTCCACAGGCTTTTCCAAGCACATTGTAGTTATTTCCCCTTCCCCTTCTCCTCTTTATTCCCTGCAAATAAATTATTCGGATTCCAGGTGTAGCTGATGTTGAAGACTTTGTCGGTTGATAGCCAAGATGAACTTGCCAGAAATGACAACGGGCTTTTCAGGTTACCATAACTAGATTAATCATTCCCTCCCCAGGGAATGAGTGTGTGTGTGAATAGTTCCACTCACTCCTAGTCTAGGACTCACTGCAGCCCCCAACTGTCTACCCACCACCACATGTGGTCCTCAGGGTGAAAAAGGTTGTCCTGCCCTGACTCAGCCTGCTTATTCAGTTCTTTACCAAAGCACCAAATAAAGATGTGCATAAAGGTGACAGCTTGGCTTTGAATGTGACACAAACTGGGATTTATTGCTCCCCCAACTGTGCTCCCACCCTCAATTACTGGGTCATACTAAGGACAATTCAAGGTTGAAGCAGATATAGGCAAGTAATCACGTTCCACTGCTGCCCATCTGAATCCATTTTACGGGCATGCAAAGGACTTTAGTCTTCACAGCTGACAATCTGGCACTTTCTGCAAGTACTAAATGGGCTTTAAAATTTCATTAAGCTGGGGAAAAATATAGCAGGCAGTGGCATTCGTTGCGGAGTGTGGTCCTCTACTACTTATTAGTCGGCGTTCTTAACTGGATACCATATGATTGCGGAGTTAGAACAATGCCTGGGAAGTTAACATTCAAATCTTTACCGGCTGACTCACAACGCAAGAGAAGTTTGACATTTAAAATGGATAGGAGGAAATTTAACTTCACAGGATCCAAACAGCTTAGTCCAAAGGAAACAAAGTCACAAGGCGCCCACTTGTATATCACATCCATTATCAAAGAATCCTGAAGGGCAAGCTGTTCCAAGTTATGCTATAGACTCAAAATAGAGCTTATACAGACTGAGTGCCAATTTAGTCATAATTTTCCCATTCAGAGAAAGCCTCGAATATGAGCAAACTTTGTATGATTTAGTTAAGATGCAACACTATGGCCTCAATGTTGTAAGATTTCAGTCCCTACCTACTGGGGCCTGCGGGTGCAAAAGGAGATCCACCCTCGGAAACCTCTCTATTCCTCACATTCCCTGCACTGTTGCTGGTGTTCCAATAGTGGCAATGGTGAAAAGGGCATTTAGCAGGGTAGATGATGGACAGCTTAGGACTCTCCGGATCCAAAGCCCTTCTGTTTCTTCCAACGCATCCCAAGAACAGAGGGAAAGTACACCAGACTTAAGAGTTGGCTTACTTATTGTCACTCCTCTTGCATGCCGCCCCTCACACTGCACACTCATTCAAATATAAAACGAAATACAATAATAACTGAGAAGAACAACAAGGGACAAATGACAAGCTGGTGCCTTGCTTGCAAACAAATGCACCCTACACAACCCTATAGACTGAAAATCTTACTGCAAGTAAATCTGCCATGCGTATTAAATATCTATCTATTATTTTTTTAAGTAACTTTTTGAGGGTAAGCAATCTAGAAGTTAGCACATTTTCACTGTGTTCAAGACCACAAACACTCCAAAAGAAGAAGAAGTGCTGGCTGGTGTTCAAGTCACATTACACAAGTTCTCTGCAATAAAAGAGCACATGAGACTCCACAGGAAAATTCATGCTTCGGTGGTGATGAAGATACAAAGACATTTGGAACATCTGGAACTGCTTGTGAGCAGATGATGGTAACCGGCTTATGTTAAAAGATGCTTCCAAGGTGAACCACAAAAGTTTCTTAGTAATAAATTTGTTAAGTCTTTAAGGTGCCACTAGGGTCTTTGTTTTAGCCTGCAAAATAAGGCTGAAATCCTATACCTACTATATCTGATGGAAGTTGCTGCTGAGCAAACATGTACAGGATAAGGCACTGTAACACAGCTACTCTTATGGATATGGTTACTGATTCTTAGGCAGAGCTAATAAGAAAACATGTGCTTATTATAACATGTAAAGTACAATGGTTGCACTATGGAGGTTATGCTGGACTTCACATGAGAATTTCAGTGCTTATGTATTTATTTATAGATTGTTTGATCCAATGCCTAAGCCAATACCACTCACATGCTGTAACCAATAAAGTTGTGGCCTTCTTTAGCCCATTTACCTAAAATACAAGTGTCCTTGTGTCTTATTTATCCCTAGCGGGTGGCGGATCCTCGACTCACAAAGATCTCTGTGTAGGAAAATGACATGCAGTCATACCTTGGTTCTGAAACACCTTGGTACTCGTATGTTTTGGCTCCCAAACACCGCAAACCCGGAAGTAAGTGTTCCGATTTACGAACGTTTTTTGGAAGCTGAATGTCCAACGCAGCTTCCACTTGACTGCAGGAAGCTCCTGAAGTCAATCGGAAGCCGTGCCTTGGTTTTTGAACGGTTTCAAGAGTTGAATGGACTCCCGCAACGGATCAAGTTCGAGAACCAAGGTACCACTGTATATGCATCCAGCCTGTTCAATAGTGACAAAAATCACTAAAATCAATTGGACCAAAGTTATTTGGCTCCCCCATCATCACCAAATCCTGGTCAGATTTTAATACTGCTCCTTGTTTTAATTTTGTGGCAAAATAAAAAAAATAAATTTTATTATCAGGAATGACATAGTCTATTTTAAGAAAAAAATAGTGTAATTAATATGTAATGTAAATATTTATTTTAGGTCATTTCACCATTGCAATCTTAACACCAACAAACAAAATTATGCCCATAAAATCCCAGACAAATAAAATTTTAGAACAATTTTAGTTCCTCCAACAGTCAACTGCTGTCTCAATCATAAAAAAAGCATATTGGCGTACTTTTCTTCAGCAAATTATCCTCTGTGGGTAATTAATATTGCTTTCTATTTGGTTGGCATCCATCTGTCTCAGGAAACAATGGAGGAATGGGCCTTTGGAGACAGTCAGTCAGGTTGTGCATCTATAGCAGTGACCAGAGGAGGAATGGCTGCTGGAGGAGCAGAGAGAGAAGATACGCCATGGTGCATCTGCAGCACCAGCACCAGATGCCTCCAGGTGCCCCAGCTGCAACAAAACATGTCTCTCCCATATCAGTCTCTACAGACACAGCAGGGGCTGCAACCTACCAACAGTTTCTATTTACCAGATTGTTGGTTGTTGCTTTCCTAATTATCTCTGGATTAAGGTTAGTTGTTTGTTTAGATTAGGAAAGCATAACTTTGCAGAGATTTGGACATGCACAACTTGAGATTCAGAAATTTTTATCTCAGCAGCAATTATCCTAAAACAAAAGACAGTGTGTGTGTGATGGCCTGGGGTTCGGACTTGGAGGCTGAACCTGAGGAATCCCAGCCTGCACAGGAGTCCCCGCCTCCAGAACCAGCTGAGCCGGGGCTGGGGCTTGAGCCTGAAGGGTCCTCACCTGTGCTGGATCCTCAGGTGAACACCAGCTGAGTCTGCTCTGGCTCCTGAGGTGATGGAGGACCCATTGCCTGCAGGTGCTCCACTCTCAGTCCCGTAAGGGGAAGCTGAGGTTGCCTCTGGGTCCGGTAACCCTCCAGCCTCTGCTGAACTCCAGAGGCTCAGGGCAGAGAGGCGGGGGGAACTAAGTTCCCGCAGGAGGAGTGCTCGCCTCCAGGCCAGGAGAGGCGAGTCACCTGTGGACCAGGGCCGCCCTATGCCTCGGGGCAGATAAAAGCCAGCCAGCCCCAGTCCCAGGTTGCGGGAGCAACATTGTTGGTAGCCTGTTCCAGCCTGCACCCTGTCCTGCTCTTCTGCCAGAGTCCTGACCTCACCCGACTCCCTGCCTTGGACCCAGCTTCAGCTTTGACAGACAGCCTCCATACCGCACCCTCTACCTCGGACTGGACTCGGACCATGCCGCACGGTTAACCTTCGGGACCAGCACAGTGTGCTTGTTCACTTACCTTCATTGGGGGCTCTTCCACACTTGTGCTTCTCCCTTGCATTCTAGGCACAGATCCAAGGGATTTTTCAGTTGTCCTGCTTCTTTTCCCAGGAAAACCCACTGAATCATATTGAATGTCAATTTGGTTTTCTGTAGATTGATGTTTGTTCCAATTCAGCAGTAAACGGCAGGTTTTCCTGGAGAAAGTGGCAGAGTAAATGAAAAGCCTCTCAGACCTGTGGCTAGAAAACAGGAGGGAAGCACAAGTGTGGACAAGCCCTGGGTGTTGCTGTTGGTTCCTGAGAGGGAGTGGTGAGACATGGGGAGCTCAGTGTGGTGCAGGCAAATAAAGAACACATCACAAAGAGAACCCTACACCTCACCCCTTACAGTCAGGAAGGCAGGTGAGCAACCCCACTTTCTCTGTGCCACCCTTCTAAACACTACTGCTTCAGACCATGGCCTGGCCATTAATAAGAGACTTCTTTTTAATGAGTTTTACTTTCTTTCAGGCTGTCAATATGGGCTATGCAACAGTATTCTAAGGTGAATTTATATCTGGGGGATGGACGACTGTACTCAAGGAATGCTAATCAACAGCTGGAAGGAAGTGATAAGTGGGATGACGCAGGACTCTGTCAAGGCCCAGTGTTCTTTATTATCTGTACAACTTGTCTTGGAAAAAGGAGTAGAGAAGGTGCTTATCAAATTTGCAGGTGGCACCGAAGTGGTGACACAGCTAATAAGTTAGAAGACGGGGGGGGGGGAGATTCTAGATCAGGGTGGTCCAACTCATGGCACGAGGGCCGCATGTGGCCCTCAAGGCCTTTTTTGGCAGCCCTCAACAACATTTGATGCACACACACCCTGCCCTTGTGCTGCCTTCCCAAAGCTGGCTAAATGAGGCTCTGGAAGGAGGTGTGAGGGCTCTGGCAGGGTCCTAGAGTCCTCCCGCCTCATCCCCAAAGCCTTGTTGGACCTTTCCCAGCTTTAGGAAGGAGGTGTGAGGGCTCTAAGATTCTCACACCTCCTTCCCAAAGCCCAGGGGCTCACTTAGCTGGCTTTGGGAAGGCAGTGCGAGGGATGCAAGGACATAAAATTTTGGCTTCACTCCCCCCCTCCCTTGCACAACAAAGCAGTGTTCGTGCAACCCCTATGGGTTCTGTGGTGAAGTACTCTTGCGGCCCACTTGGTATGAAAAGTTGGGCAGCCCCTGTTCTAGATCATCATGACAAAATGTAGAACTGGGTCAAAACTAAAAAAGCAAATGTCAACTGAGACAAATGTAAAGCCCTCATTTACGTAAGAAGATCCAGATGTGCAAATTCAGGATGGCTAAATGTGAAATAGATTGGGAGGTTTTAGTAGGCCACAAGCTAAACATGAGAGTGGTCCTTTTTGATGTTGCTGCTTACAATGCTCTCACTCAGCCTCCCAAGAAATATCCACCAGGACCTCATTTTCTGGAGGGCAGAAAAGACCCTACAAATCTAAGATCTTCCAATTACAGCTACAGATACAGCAGTACATGTGGTGCAGCCTTGATTACTCTTTGAAAAAAGATCTCTCTGCCCCCACACTGTCTAGGCACAACAGGTGGGGGAGCAAATTATAAATCCAATTAACTGTGAATTTATTTTCTGGTTGTAAGAATACAGGTTTTTAAGGATTAACATTTTCCTCTCCCACTTTGCAATTTTTAAAGGTAGCGGAAATTTGTGTGGGAGTGATATGCTCCTGTGTTCTTCCACTTACAGAACACAATTAATTCTTGGTGGTTTTAATGGCTATTATTATCAAAACCCATATATGCCACTGAATCAGCACGTGAAACGGAAGGATCGCTTAGACCCATGGTAACTTCACCAGGCCTTTGTGGCTGTACTGCATAGCTGATCTAAAAGAGAACCAATTAATGATTTTTAATCAGTCCTCCATATTTTGAAATGAGTTGCGCTAGCTGAAGTTGTTGTTCAAATGATTAAAAGGCTTCTGCCTGCTAAGTACTAACGATTATTTGCAGAACAATAGTGCCAAAGTAGGGAGGTGTAGTAAGCTAGAAAGTTGGTAAAGATACTAGGAGTGTGCATTGGCTCTGTGTAGGGGCCAAAAAATGAGGCAACTTGGGATGACTCAGGGGTCTTCCCCCTCTTCAGAGTTCAACCACAATGTTAATAAATCCCTCCAAGTCAGATCAGGGCCCCCATGAAGCCTTGTGTCATTTCTGTATCTTTGGATCCATGGCTTTTGCAAGAAATCAGGGTGTCAAAAATGTTGCCTCCAGAGGACTGAAGAGCTCTGAATTGTTGTTGAAGCAAAGCAGTGGAAGGTTTGTTCAAATAAATAAAAAAGTTTAAAACTTCATTTAAGTTTGTTTTTAGCATCTTATGTTGCTCTGCTTTAACAAAACCCAAACCCAGCTCTTTAGAACTCCCCACACAATTTTCTGGACATTGTGAGGCCTATGGGAGTAAACACAGAGCTGTTCCTGTACAGAATCCGAGCTTGTTGTGGCTTTGTGGGGCCCCTGACCTGACTATGATGGGGGCATCATACTTTGACTTGGAGGAGGGAGAGGAAACACCTTGATTTGCCTAATTATTCAGCTCATACACAGAGCTGATGCATACCTCCAGTAAATGCTTCCCTAAGGAAGTTTTGTACTCCTGGTGTTGAAAGAGGTGGTGAAATGTCCTATGCTGAAAAAGCATATTTGGACCCTTCTGATCTGAATAACTATTGCCCAGTATTTAACATCCCTTTTTAGGCAACGTATTCAAATGGGTTGTGGCAGCACACCTCCAGTGGTTTTGGGTTAAACTGATTATTTAGATCTCTTCCAGAATAACTTTTGGCCTGATTTTGGAACAGAAACTGGTTTGCTTGCCCTGGTGCAACCTTTCCCAACCTGATGCTCTCCAGATGTTTGGACTACACCTTTCTCATCAGCCCCAGCAAACATGTCAAATGGTCAGGGATGATGGGAGTTATAATCCCAAACATCTGGAGGGCACCAGGTTGGGAAAAGATGCCCGAGCTGGGAAATAGACAGGAGGACTGCATCCCTGCTGGTTCTCCTGGACATCTCATGGTATCCTTCTGGGTCTTCTTTAAGGGATAAGCAGTGGATCTCCTGGGGCTGGTACACTATATGTGGATTGGGGGCCCAGTACACACACACCCTGTAATCTATTTGCAAGAACTGTTGCTTATGTACACATATAAACTTAGTCTAGCCTACCTCACAGGGCTGTTACAAAGATGAAAATGGGGAGGGGGTGATAATGTACACAACCTTGAGCTCCTGGGAGGAAAAGCAAGATACAAATAGACAATGTAATTCCTGTAAAAAAAACCATACACAAAGCCAGAGAAGCCGTCCCCCTTGATCTAACTGTTGGGATACTGCCAGGAGACAAAGTCCATCATGGCCCCCAAGCCGGCTGCTGGAGGATCCATCGATCTCCCGTAGACACGCAGTATCAGCAATTAGCGACATGAGCTCCAGAATATTCTAGAGCCGATGCACACTCTTTATCAGCAGATAATGCACAGCAGAAGTCGCACTCAGGAGAGCATTATTTACAAGTTTATTCAGCGTTGATCAGAACACAGAAAAACATGACTGCCTGCTTTAGTGTCTACGACACAGAGAGAAAACGAAAGAAATAGAAAACATAAACATCCTGTGGAAACAGGAAATACGCAGACTCTGCCTCACAAAGCCTGCTCCCTTTTAAGGTGGAACGGAAATATCCTAACACTAACTACAACATTCCACAGTCCTGATACTTTACTGCAAAATGCCAAGAGAAGGCAAAAAGATTGCCAACACTGAAGATGTACCACATACACCACACAGAATGGTTTTTTGTCAGAACTGCTCGGTCAAACCCAGACTGCTCACTGTTGATATATTGAAGAGGTGATTGGATCCAGTTTGCCCTACCTGGTTGTTCTGAGCTCAGATTCGCTGGAGGTTTTTTTATTATCAAAACCAGCAGCGAAGGAGGCTGCTACCAGACAATTAAGAGAGTTTGGAAGAGAAATATGGAGTGCTCTGGTTTAACTAGGGGTCTGATCTCCAGCATTTATAGGTAGGTCTTGGAATCAGTAACAGGCTCTAAAGATTTCTTAAGAAGTCTAAAGGGAAAAGAATTAGATATTGCAGTTGATATACATAGAACTGGAACTCAATGGAACCATATAAATCTGTATCTGCTAAAGTGAAGGAGCAATCCCTAAAGTTGATACACAAGTGGTGTATCAACTTACCCTCTTACCCTGAGGAAAATGACTGTATTGCACCCCAGGATGTCTCCTGCATGTTGGCAGGAATGCCAGTCGATTGGGACTTATGTACACATGTGGTGAACATGTCTCCAAGTACAGGTTTTTTGGGTGCAAGTGTTCCAGGAAGCAACCTCCATCATGGGTCCATGGGTCTACCCCTCTCCACAGCTGGCACTTTGAAATTTATATATAGGTCTTGACTTAGATTCAAAGTATAAAGAACTATTAAGCCGTTTAACTGCAACAGCAAGGTCTGTGATAGGGTTTAATGAATGAATGAATATAGATCAATAATATCAAAGGTTAACACAAAGGTTAAGAGCTACTAATGGGCAGAAAAATATTTTTATATCTGTTTGGTATACATTTATTAACTATTTAGCAGCCCAGGAAAAAATAAATTTGTATAGTTAGAAAATAACCATCAATACATTTTGATGGCATCCTAAAATGCATGTAAACAATCTAGGTAAAGTCTTTTCTGAGAGATGGAGGGAAGTGATGCAGAAGAGTCACATAGGTGAAAGTGAAGAAGACAAAGGAGATGTCAATCATGGTGATAGTGAGAGGAGGAAGGGGATGTCAGCAGGTTGATCAAGAGGGATCAGAAATATGTACAACAAAATAAAGCAATTATCTGCAACAGAGGATGCTGAAACAAGTAGAGGTGGAAGATGGACCTTGAGTAGAGATTTTGGAAGAAGATGGGATACATGGAATGAAATCAAATTAGGAAGTACTGCAGAGGAAATTCAATAAGAGGGTTATTATGATGTTCAAGTTATGCCTCACCCAGCAAGGGATGGTGGGGAGAGAGGAGAACACCTCCTCACTCCTTGATAACCCTGCCAACCCTGAGAGTCATCTTACTGGAGCAGAACTGTGGAGGAAGAAACCAGCTGGTGGTGATGACTGCAATCCAGCCAAAGAACTGAAAAACTAGCACCACTAAGGCAAGGAGTGTCAGGACTGTGATGAGGTTTCCTTCCTCCAAGATTGTTGTTGTTTTTCAGAGTGCCTCTTGCAGGGGTTGAACTGTCTCATGGTTAGGGTTACTCCTTGGTGAGAGAAAGGAGTAGTGGGGAGGTTGATGAGAGTCTTGGATGGAAGACAGCAACCTGGGTAAATGCTAGATTGCTGTTGGCGAGTCTATCTGATTCTCAACTAGCCTCTGCCATGACTCTTATAATCATGCTAAACTATACCTCCCCATCCTGCTGTGGCATGTGTTGCTCCCATCCTGGCTGCCCTCATCACTATGGCAGAATAGATGTGAGTCAACTGGAACGGCTAGGGCCAATGCACATACTACACACAGGGGCAAACCCAAGTCTCTCCCAGCCTTAGCCATACCTGCTTGAATCACATATTTGCAACATTCACACTTTAAATTTTAGATGCACACTTAAAACATCCTACAAACAATGCAATGTGTGTACCAACAGCAATACGTAAGCCTATAAATGCTTGCCTTAAGTATGGTAAGTAATGGTAAATCAGCATTATTATCACACATATTGCAGGTGGGGGTAGAAGTTGAGAGACAGTGTCTTAGGAATGTAGGAAGCTCTTTTCTACAGATTCCATCTGGCTCAGGACTGCCTACACTGATTGGCAGTGACTCTCCATGGTTTTAGACTGGGGCCTCTCCAAGACCTATCTGGAGATGCTGTGGATTGAACTCAGGGCCATCTGCATCCCAGACAGATGCTCTTCCACTGAGCTATGACCCTTCCCAAGCTTATGGTCATTCTGTTTGCTTAAGGCCACCTAATGAGCTTATGGCGGAAGCAATATTCAGACCAGGGACTTGCTAACTCATAGCTCAGTCTCTTAGCCATTACACTACACCAGCTTTGATAATATCACAAAGTGTTTGCTCTTTTTTAAAAAAGTATTTTAAAGTTTTGTAATTGCCTGCTATCTCTTCAAAATGAGGTAGTGGTTAAAAAAATGAGGCCAATTACATTTTCACATTATTTCTCAACTGCTGAAGAACAAGAGAGAGCACAGCACTGGTTCTCCCACATTTAATTAACCATTTACCATAACCACAATTTTATTCCTTCAGATGCATGTTTTATGCATTGTATTATGTTCCTTCCTCCCCATATTGGCTTGTACTATAGACACCCTGGTTAAAGTGAAGAGGGTTTTTCTCTTTTATTCTTTATTGCAAAACAGATTTGACTCAATGAGTTTCAAAGTATATAGCAATTTAAAAATTATTTGTGTTAAGAGGTTATCTGAGCTACCACTGAAAAGCACTAGTGAAAACAGTTGCATGGCAACATACTTTAAAAACAGTTTAATATCTAAGAAGTCAGCAGAGAACTGAAAAGAATGGTGTGCACTTTAGCTGAAGTAAAACATACTTTACTGTGCTCAATTGCAGCTCATGTGAGATTTTTAAAAATCCGTTTTGAAACATATTTTTGTTAGCTAGACACAATTGAAAATTTGGCAATAGAAAGAAACTGAAAGGATCAATCTGGTTGCATCAATTTAGGCAATCATATTTTCAGTTCCTTTCATCTTTGCTATTGATTAAGAACTAAGAAGCTGTGCCCCTCAGCAGCTTCCCCATGGCTGATTTCACATGGTGGTGTTAACCTTGATGTGGAGATAAGAGGTACCTTTAAAAATAGGTGCCAACTAAGGCTTTTGCACTAAAGGCATTCTTTGGACTATTGAACTTGCACTGGTCCTGATCATTTCTGCTTCTTGGGCTGGGGACAGCTATGGGACATTTAGGCAGTTTGAATCTGTGCACCCAGTGCTCAAAAAAACCCTTTGGCTAGAAGACCCCTTTAAAAAGTATTTTAAAATAGTGCATTGTATTAGCAAGTGCCATACACAGAGATATGTACAACTCTCCACGTGAGAAGCAGGGGCAGAGGGTACCGGAGGTCTTGCAGAATGAAGTCCAGAATGATTCCAACTGCAAATATGGATAGGAAGTAGCACATTTGTTTTCCATTTCACACCTCTCATATTTCCTGCGAAAACTTTTTAACAAGTCCTAACTAAACAGATGATCAAATCTGAAAAAGAACAGTTTTTGAAGGTGATCTATGTTTTTGCAAGAGAGATCAGCTCACACATTGGGTTACTGTTGTTGTTTTAAATGTATACAGTGTTTTAGAGAGGGACATGTGGAGATCAAGGCAGGTGAGTGCCTAGTGGTAAGAGCACAGCCTTCCAGAGACATAGCCTTACAGTTCTCTTTCAGCTTCTCCACCCCCGGTGTCTATCTCCGTGGTGCTGAGTGACTCTTCTTTTCCTTTGCCTCCTGCTTTCATCTCCACAGATACTGTTGTGGTGGCATTTGCAAGCAGGCAGTTGTTATAGTTACTTGCTTAATTGCAAAGAAAACCTCAGTGGCTGAGGGAGTCAGAGCTCTCTTGCCCTTCAAATTCCCTGAGCTGCTTTGATGGGGGGGGGGGGATTAAGTGGGTGTGTAAGTGTGTCTTTTATATCCTCATCTTTTAAAGGTGAAAGTGCTGAAAGATACGTGAAAATCAGTGTCAATGCATTTTAGAAAATGTGGACAAGACAAATCTCAACTTGGGGAAAAGATGATCAGAACGTAATGCGCTATTTTACATCTGAATAACACTAAAAACTTGTCAGGAAGTATTTTATTGAGAAATTCCGTAATGGTGTTGAATAGCACCAAAACTGTAGTGTGTATGGAGCTTTGGTTCTAACTTGGACCCTTTTGCACTGCAGTCTGGAATCCCTGGACATAGGGTGTGGGAGAAATTACTTCTTGATAACAAATATCTAATGAGCTGTCACATGGAAGATGGAGCAAGCTTGTTTTCTTCTGCTCTGGAGGGTAGAACCCAAACCAATGGCTTCAGCTTATGAGAAAGGAGATTCTGGCTCAGAATCAGGAAGAAGTTTCTGACGGTAAGAGCTATTTGACAGTGGAATGGACTCCCTAGGGAGGTGGTGGAGTCTCTTTCCTTGGAGGTTTTTAAGCAGAGTTTGGATGGCCATCTGTCGTAGATGCTTTAGTTGAGATTCCTGCATTGCAGGGAATTGGGCTAGATGACACTTGAAGTCCCTTCCAACTCTACATTTCTACAATTCTATATCTCATACATACAATCCTCCTAACAGGCAGTGTTCCTAATGGCATAGAATGCAGTCCATACATAGAAGACACACAGCAGCAGCAAACTTCTGTCTGGCATGATATGGTCATTTCGCTGACACATGTTGCTGTGGATATCTAATAACGACAAAGATGTACATTCAGCATCTAGTAGGCATGGACTACTTCATCCAGCCCAGACACCAAAGCTTTGCATAGCTACTATATCTGTATTTACTGATGTAAATAAAAATACATGAAAATGTAAAATATGAGTATATTCTTCTCTAGGTTGAGTCAAAGACAAACACTAGTCAATCTTCTACATGAATACCAATATTTGATTGTCCTGCTTTTGCCAACCAAGCCAACAACAGCTCATACTTATCAGAATCTTCTACCTTTGTCAAAATTCTCTTAACACAGGTACCCAGGTTTCTTGGGGCATAGTGTCTGACAACCAAGACACAATAAACTCTTATATGAAAGAATACACAAGTCCTAAGCAGAGTGTATTAAACTTAACTAACTACCAATATGTTCTCTGTGTAGGGCAGGGGCAGCTAGCATGGTGCCCTCCAGATGTTGCTGGACTCAGCTCCCATCAGCCCCAGCAAGCTTGACCAACTAGCAGGGGTGCAGTCCAACATGTCAAGGGCCCTATGTTATCTACCCCAATCTAGCACACAAGAAGGAAAATAGCAAGCAGCCCTCTACCAAATCAGAAAAATAAGTGAGCACCCCCATTAAAAGAAACCTAGAACAAGTACGGAATGCCACGGTTTCCTCACTAACACAAACATGCACTTTCTCACTCCATAAACTCCATGAGAAGCATTTTCGCGTAAGCCACTTGGAACCAGAATTTCCCATAAAATTGAGTCACGTGAATATATAAAGAGATTTCACTTGAGCCAGGGTTCAGCAAAGCGTAGCACCAGAACCTTACTTAAATGCTGTGGCACAATCCTGTAAATGTGAACAACACTTGACCATGTGTGGAAATATCAACACCATCTGACCATGTGCAGATTGCCTCATGAGTAAATAACTACCATACAATCCATATCAGTGCAATTAGAGAGGCATTGTGGGGTCACATTTCAGACCAATAACTAAATAAAATAACATTGTCCATGTTGTTTTATTAACCCCAATGGATATTACCATACTTTTCTTTTTTTGTTGTTCAATGATTCATTCAGTACTGCAAATGACAGCAATGTGCCAGGCAATCACGAGACAGACTTCCATTCACTATGGTGAATGTGATGACATCCTCTGCTGATCAGGATAAGCCAATAGCCTTCGTTGGAGATGTAGGAGTAGGCAGGGATCACCCCAACACATATGCAGTGATTCCATCCCCCTCCCCAGCTTCAAGGTAGGAAGGAAGGCCAGAGGACTTATTTTATCTATTCATTCATTCATTGCAACATTTATAACCCACACTTTCCTTCTCAAGCAGGTGTGTTCAAAGTAGCTAACAAAAGCAACTTTGGGATTTGTGTTGCCAGTGAAGCAGCTAAGTCAACAACCTGGCTATTCTTTCCTGTGCAAACAGAGGGGAGCAGGTGACTGCCCTTTAAGAGGTACAATGCAAGGTTAATGACCAGGGGAGGGTAAGGGCTTAACAGCCACATCTTTGGCTACCAATGCCAGCCAAACCTGTAGAGCTCTGTATGAGTGACTAATGTACTAAGTGTATTGAGAGAAATATATATTTAGAAGTGCTATTTTTAAAAAGCATCTCATCTTATTTATGATAAATAGATAGCTGTTTAGATAGGAGATTCTGATGGGCAAGAATTTCTGGTGACCAATCAAAAACAGTACTTCCATCAAATGTTGATACCTGTGTCTTTAGATAACAGACTCTGAGGACCCAACCTGACAAGACTTTAGAGTTCTGTGATTCGATCTTCCATCTCTTTTTAATTTATTCCAAAAGAAGCCAGGGGGGATTAGATCAGGATGACAGTGTTGAGGGATGGGACTTAATCCTCCTGCCCATCATTTTGCTCATCTAAATTTCCCCCCTCCAGCTGATACTTCCCTCATTAGGGCTGCTGTTGAAACAAATTAAAAGAGACAAGAGATGCAATTATGGATCTCCAAGGACTCATCTACTTCATCCCTTATAGGCAAGAGGATATTCTGAAGGCCTGGACCTCAAGAACAGCATCCCATCAAAAGGTGGCATCTATGCATCTGTGCTTTCAGGTAGAAGATTCCCAAGAGCAAATTTCTGATTACCTGACAATCAAGAACAACATGTTTTGAATATGTACATAGCTATGTTTTCAGATAGTGGATAAGGGTTTTTGATGTCCTGGTTGTCAAAACAAGCACCCTAACAAATTTGGGTCCTTACATTCAGGAAATATTATGCATCCCCACCCCTGGATTTGAGAAGGTGGTACTTATCCGAGTGAATCTGCTTGATAAAGATAACTATTTCCCAAAACATTTTTTAAAAATCTAATTTACCGGTAACTTCCCATGAATCAGCTATATAAAAAGATGGTTTTCCAGATGGAGGAGCAGGCTGAAAACCAGTCTGAACAAAACATACCTTGTCTAATTTTATTTTGTTACCCATTGAACACTTATGTCTAGTTTTTCTGAATCTTGTCTAGCGTATCCATTTGACTATAGCACACTCTGGCACAGAGATGGAGCTGCAGGTGATATCAAGTGAAGATTGCTACTAGTATCTGATGCTAAGTACAACAAGAAGAAAGCCCATGTTGTGGGTGGAAATTTCAAGGAGGAGGAATGTAGCCTTTATTATTTGCTACGTTCATATCTGACCCTTCTTCCAAGGAACAAGGATAACATATGCAGCTCTCTTCTTTTCCCCATATTATCATCACATATACGATAGGCTGAGAGATAGTGGATTGCCCAAGGTCACCTAGTGAACTTCATGGCTTGGTGGAGATTCGAACCAGATCTCCACAGTCCTAGTCCCTAACTACACCACAATGGCTCTCCTGACTTGATCATCATAAAATCCTATCAGTAAGGCAATCTGACAAGTTTGTTTCCCCGACCTTCCCTCCACACACCTCCTTTCAAATGTGTGACATATTTTGTGGACTGCTCCTGACTTTCTACCAAGTAGCTGAGTAACTCGTCTGGCAAAGTATCCAACTTTTTAGCCACTGGGAAAAGCCAAACTCATGAGGCAGGGGCTGAAAATAAACCTGATAAATGTGTCGTTCACAAATAAGATCACTTAATTTGTCTACACCTGATTAGTGACAATAAGTGTTCAGATTCAAATAATGAAGGTGGGGTGCAACAAGGTTACACCTGGTAGTTACACTGACACACATTTGCCACATTCCCTGTCAGCCGTACTTCTAGCGCCAGTGTGAAGGTCGTGCATATACATACAGGTCCTCTCCGTACAAATCGGAATTGTAACTGGCCAGGATTCCCATTCACATATGATATCTATGGGCATATATCTGTGCAAATGCAAGTCGCCTTCATACAGACTCAATGAACACCCATTAGGGCAAGGGTTATTACTATATTTATTTATATTCCGCCTTTTTCCTGGATCTGGACCCAGTGGTCTGTGAGCATCATTCAGGTGGTCCATGGCATGTCTGCATTAAATATTCACATTGACTTTAATTGTATCTTAATTGCTTCTTTTATTTCTTATATTGTATATCATGCAGTATCTAGCATAGCACATTACAACTGCTACAGCAGGCAGAAAAATCATTAAGTGGTCCACCAAGACCATCACCAATGTTCAAGTGGTCTGGGGGTGGGGGACATGCTTGGGAACCGCACTGCATTTGGGGATGCAGCTAGCCTGTGTAATTCCACTATCCCTTGCATGCAGTCACTGGACATGGGGGGCAGGGACTTCTGTACACCCCTGACAACCAGAGTCTGGATGTGTCAGTTGTCTCCATTGAAAAGCATTGCCCACAAGATGATGTTAAAAGCTGTAGCCTTTGCTCTCCCAGATGTTCCAGTCATGAAGGAATAAGTATGTCTTGCACAAACCAGCCTTCTTCTGGAAATTTTTGGACTACAACTTCCATCGCCCCTGGCCGTCGGCAACATTGGCCGGGGCTGACGGGAGATGGGATTTCCAGATGTTGGAAGGCACCAGGTTGACACAAGAGCGAACCATCTATGAGGAACAAGAATAAGGCTTGCATACCTTCAAAACTCATCTGCAGCACATTTTTGTCCCTCGAAGAACTCTGGGCTCGGTAGTTTGCTAAGGGTTGCTGGGAACTGAAACTGTGCGAAGGGTAAACGGCAATGCCCTGAATTCTTTGAGGGGAAGAATTCATAGCTGTCAACGTTTCCCTTTTTTTAAAGGGAAATTCCCTTATTCCGAATAGGATTCCTCGCAAGAAAAGGGAAAAGTTGACAGCTATGGAAGAATTTGTTTCGAATGTAAGGTGGCTGGAAATGGTGGAAAGTGGAATTTGTGCGTGTGTGTGTGTGTGTGAGAGAGAGAGAGAGAGTGAGTGTAGGGGGAGGATTTGCGGGAAAGAGCTACTCACATGCCAAATAGCGAAGAAGATGAGGGCCGCACACAGGACCAAGGAGAGCATGTAGCAAAAGGCAGCAAACGTGAAGGCCATGGCGGGAGCAGAGGAGCCTGGTGGGACTGGCGCGCATGCACTCAGCCCGGGCAGGAAGGCGCCTCCTCGGGAACTCGAGGCGGGAAGAGCTCCTTCCTCTCGGGAGGCCGCCACAAGCTCACTTCAGAAAACTCCCACCCTGCGCGGGAAACCAGCCCCTCAGCAGGCATCCAGCAGCTTTCGAAACCTTCAGGACGGCCACTCTGGCTGGAAAAAGCTCGCCGGCTCCCGGGAAGGCGGAGAGCGCAAGTGCCCCGTTCTCCCTCACACACACAAACTCGAGTCAAAGTGGGCTAGGCGGAAAAGTCATTCCGGATGAAGAGAGGGTGCCGGAAAAAGGAGGTCCGGCAAGCGGCGAGCACCCCGGGGATGCCAAGCCCAAGTTCCCGGCGCACCCCGGAAAGTGCCATGGTTAGTGGAGGGGGATTTTTTCGGAGCTCCGGGTTTCGCTGCGCCCATAAAAGAAAGGAACTGGACAGAAAGGGAGCGGGATGGAAGCCTCCCTCGATCTTGGTTCTCGCGCTATGGAGATGGGTTTTTCTTTCTCTCTTTCTGCCTGGAAGCGGCTCTGTGGCGGGGAAGCAACGCTTCTGGTGCTCCCTCGCTTCTTCTCCTCCTTCAGCAGGAGCTCCTTTGTTCCTCAGACCCGCGGCAAAGATTCAGTCGCATCCCCGCCGCCTTCTCTCCATAGTCGACGGGGGGAAGAACCCTCCTTCCCTTAGCCGGTTGCAGCAGCTGCTTGTCTTGAAGGGGGGAATAAAGAGAGTCCACCTGCTGCTTCTGGATACAAGGGATCTTGGACTCTCTCACACACACTCATACATACGGATCTCGCTCCTGGCTCGCACCTCCAGCAGCACAAACGAGGCGGCGAGGAGGGGACTTTCTTTGGGCTCCTCCCGCATCGCAGCTTCCTCCTCGCCTTCCCCCTCCAACTTGTGCACGCACACACACACACACATGCACTCCCGAGTTGTCGAAAGCCCCGAGGAAACCACGTGGCCGTCCAGGCAAGTCCTCTTTCTGGTCGCCTCCCGGTGACCCACTGTTGATCTATGCCCGGCTGACCTCATGGTGGTGGTGGGCAGTGCCAAATCGCCTTCGCCGTCCATACAGCTGTGGCTGAAAAGCCCACATTTCCCACCCGCGCAACTCACCCCAGACTTCATTTGAGAAAGGTGGCATGGGGGGGGGGTGGACACATTGCAACTTCAAAGCCCGTGAGAACACCGGGAGAAAATCTGTGGTCCTGCAAATGTTGTTGGACTACAGTTCTCACCATCCACGACCGCTGGCCATGCCGGCAGGGGCTGGTGGGAGTTGGGGGGATGTGGTAGTTCTACTTTGCCTGCAAAAGCCCCATATTCAATCCCAGCATCTCCAAGTAGAACTGGGAAAGACTCCATATCTCAAATCTGGGAGAGCTGCTGCCAGTCAGTGTAGACAATACTGAGCTAGGTGGTGCAATAGCCTCATTCAATATAAGGTAGCTTTTATCTGGAGGGCTAAAGGTTGCCCCATCTCCACTCCACTGCAAACTGTTGGAACTGGGGGAATCGGGAAAGGCAACTAGATGATGTGGCAGAGATTTAAGGTAGTAAATGATGTGCAGTTGTGAACAAGGAGAATTACTTCTCTCCATATACCCAGAACTGTTAGGCTACACTGCAAAAGTAAAAAAACTTATTTATACCCATGACTGTGTGCACTGGAGCCTTAAACCTGGGAGAGAGGAAAAGCTGACAAATCAGCGAAATTAGGCTGCGTGCACATTACTGCTTACTCCAACACATTACAGTGGTACCTCGGGTTACAGACACTTCAGGTTACAGACTCCACTAACCCAGAAACCTTGGGTTAAGAACTTTGCTTCAGGATGAGAACAGAAATCGTGCAGCGGCAGCAGGAGGCCCCGTTAGCTAAAGTGGTACCTCAGGTTAAGAACTGTTTTAGGTTAAAAACGGACCTCCAGAACAAATTAAGTTCTTAACCTGAGGTACCATTGTACCACCATTGGTGTCTGAAACCAAATACACAGGACATGAGCCACAATCCATAGGTATCCCGCAGCTTCTTGAGAAATGCTCTTTCCCTTAAACTAGCTTCCAGATGTTTAGAAAATGGAAGCGATGGTCAAGGTGAGGTGCGTACATTTCAGGCAGCCGTTGCACATGTACAGAGGACAACTTCAGTGAATTGGAAGTCAGTGAGGGGAAACAAATCAGGTAATGGGCATCTGGGGAAGGCATCCCCACCCCCTCTCTGGTGTCAACAGCAACATAAAAAGGGACTTGGAAGAACAATAAGAACATACATTTAGAGAAGATTGGAAAACGTTTATTGAATATGTGGGAAATCACTGTGTACAGCTGAAAACGCTGGCAGCATTAAGATAAATTCAACAGTGTAAATAAGTTATGATGGATGTAATAATGGAATACTGAATGGTATAGTTTCTGTAAAATATGCAGGGATTTATGACATTTAAAATGAACCATGGAAAGAGGAAGGGAAGTCATTGATATCTTAAGGATGTAAAAATGACTACTTACTGGGAGGTAAATTGTAAAACAGAAAATTTAATTAAAATTATATATATATGAAATGCGACTTGAAACACAGCAGCAGGGGGCTGGGACGCCCTTGCCACATTTCAGTACCCTAAGGTGTACATGGCCTTAGCCCCTGATTGACCCTTAATTTCCTGTGGTCCTCCCCGCAGCAAAGTGGTTGTCTTTATTTTTCCAGCCTGCCTCTGCTGAACAGCACTTTATCCTCCATGACAGCTTTATCTCTTATGGACTTCCTTTACTGACCAAGAGGGCTATCGCTAGGCCTGGGGTGAAAATTATTAGATCAGACCAAATTTAAAATGTAGGGGTTTTTTTACTAATAGTTTTGAAAACGTTAGTGTAATATTTATAGGGGATATATACACAGTTAGTGTAATATTTATAGGGGAGGAAACGGATTTCAGAAGAGCTTAATAGTTAGCCATAACAGCTATTAAGAAAATAACATATGTTGGGGAATGCACCCATCTAAACCTTATTCATTATAGTAATGTAATCATTACTGATAAATGTCTACCATTTCTCTACTTTAGCCAAGACATAACATACAGGAAGCTGCCTTACGCTGAGTCAGACCATTGGGCCATCCATCCCAGTATTGTAGACACTGACTGGCAGTGGCTCCCCCGGGTTTCAGACATGGGTCTTTCTCATCCTTACCTGGAAATGCGTGGGATCAAACCTGGGACTTTCTGCATGCAAAGCGGGTGCTCAGTTACTAAGCTCTGGCTCTCCCCAAAATACTCTCCCCAAACCTAGCAATAAAGCCATTCCTTTCTTTCAGCTCACTGACAGTCCTGCTTCCAGTCTTCTTGCTTCTTGTTTTAGTTCACTTTTGTAACTTCCTTCTTGTGATTTGTATATCTCTCTTTCCTCTGCCTGCTCTGCTTCACCTGCATACACTATTTTAACTCACCCATCCAATGTTCTAGCCAACCAGAAGTGCAGGAGTGTTCAAGTCAGTGACTGAACACTGCTAGTGGGGGAAAAGAAACAGGAAATTCATAGCTGTCAACATTTCCCTTTTTTTACGGGAACTTCCCTTATTCCGAATAGGATTCCTCGCAAGAAAAGGGAAAAGTTGACAGCTATGGGAAATTGGGGACAAGTAACTAGATTTCCAAACCCCTCCCTTACATTTCAGTTTCCTGGGTTGACCTTTCTGAATTCCCAGCAAGAACAGCCGCCGAACAGAAGGCAACCATTTTGTACCTAAAAGCAAACACAAAATGGCCGGACAGAGTTATGCTTTATGTCAGGCATAGGCAAACTGGGTCTCCAGATGTTTTGGGACTACAATTCCCATCATCCCTGACCACTGGTCCTGTTAGCTAGGGATCATGGGAGTTGTAGTCCCAAAACACCTGAAGGGCCGAGTTTGCCTACGCCTGCTTTACGTTATTGACCTGTGAACTGCAGAGGACTACACTGCAGCAGGGATGTGGTGATGGACGAACCAGCATAAATGTCTTTGCTAAAAAATAGAAGAAAAACCATATCCTTTGTTAACTGCTCACAATACTACTGTATTAGAATTGTTGCAGACCCTTAAGATGGTCATCCCTATTCCGTGGGTGGCACGGTGGTCCAAATCACAGACCCTCTTGGGCTTGCTGATCAGAAGGTCGGCAGTTTGAATCCCTGTAGCGGAGTGAGCTCCCATTGCTCTGTTCCAGCTCCTGCCAACTTAGCAGTTCAAAAGCATTCCAGTGCTAGTAGATAAATAGGTACTGCTGTGGCAGGAAGGTAAATGGCGTTTCCATGCACTCTGGGTTCTGTCACAGTGTTTTGTTGTGCCAGAAGCAGTTTTGTTGAAAAGAAGACAAACTTAACATCCCCCTCACCCTGCTTTTCCCCAGCCTGAAGGCATAGTTCAAATGTAGACAATAATAGCAAATTTCATACAAGCACTGAAGTGGAAAGAGACTGAAAGCTGCTAATATCAATATAAAGGAAAATGTCAACCCAACCATATATTATGGAATATGGCAGGCACAGTTTGTCCTGTAGTCTTTGTTCGTGTGCTAGATGAATGGCCACCAGTCTGCTACAAAAGTCTCTCAGTTTTTGAACTTTACAGTTTCTAGCTATCAATAATCTTGCTGCCAGTAACCAATTAAATGCTTATAAAATAAGCCTTGGTTGTCCCCGCTGAATATACCCAACAATTCTTGTATTATTATTATTATTATTATTATTATTATTATTATTATTCCTCTTCTATTTGAAAGTTGAAATACCCAACAATGCTTTAAAAAAAATTATTAAAGATTTTCATGAACTACAAAGAACATGCAATGTCTCTCATTTTTTTTCTTGATCAGTTTATAATCTTTTTGTTACGTTCAAAGTAAGATGTAAA